GACCACAGACTGAGGAGAATTGGGCATCCCGTCCGCTCTGCCATACACAAGCCTCAGATCGGCAGATTAGTAGTTGGGTGGGTGACCACCAGCGAATACCTGCTGTCGTATGTTTTTGTTTTTGGATTTTCGAACACTTTCCAGTCACGTCCGTGGTCTATTCCGGACATCGGATAGTCGGGTTGCCGAAAGCCGATATATTTTCGAACCACGCCCTGTGTTAATTTAAAAAGGATCTTTCTGTTTGCCTATTTTATTCCTTCTATCTTTACTTTTAGGCAAGGATCTACCTAGACTCTAATATTTCTATCTTTCCTTTTCAGGGGGAGACATTATAGTTCGGACTACTTCTATCTTTACCTTTTAGTAAAAACTACCCTAACTCAATAGTTATAGTTACTCCGAAAGATAGATAGCAATTCGCACGAGCTTAGACTATCGTTGTTTCAACTAGTGCAGCTACATCTAGAGGCGCTGCCAGAGTCGGCTTCCCCTCCGCACAGCCCCACCTATCATAAAGGGGGACCAGCTTGCCGTCATGTGACCATTTGGCAATCAGGCAGATCACGGTCGCCTTGAATTTATACCGGATTACATTGATTCCATTGCTCGATATACCAAAGTCTCTCCTAATCGACGAGAAGTTTACACGAAGTGAAAACTGTCCTGTGTTAAGATCTGAACCCGTTAGACCATGATGACCCAGACAACAAAAGGATACCAATACCGAACTTTGCAGCGTTGCCGGAATGAGATCAGACTTTTGCGAATCTTGCCTGCAGATAATAATAAAAAGCTCAAGTTACTTCCTGCGTGTCATGTCTTTCACGCCTCCCTCGATGAGCAACCGGATTTTGTGGCTTTGTCCTATGTCTGGGGATCTTCCACGACTCAACGAGTGATTCTCGTCGAAGATTCTGAGTTTCGAGTAACCAAGAATTTATATGACGCGCTAATGATGCTCAGACCGTTCGACGATGAACTTGTGATCTGGATCGATGGCCTCTGCATCAACCAGTCAGATAATGAAGAGAAGAGTTGGCAAGTCGATCTAATGGCAGATATCTACTCAAAGGCACGCAGAGTAGTTGCTTGGCTTGGACCAGCTGAGAGCGAAGACGATTCGGTAGTGGATTATATGAATGCTCTAGGGGAAAAGGCAGAGGCTTGCGGTTTGGATAATGGATTCGAGACCCACCAAAGACTCTGGCACATTATGGCATTGTTCCCCCGGGAAAGGCTCGATTTAGTGCAACCGACTGCAATGATAGAACTCGAAGTCCCTTCTGGAGAAATACTTAAAGTCTCACTGGGTGCATTGCGCAAAAGCTTTTATTCCATTAGTGGCTGGCACGGTCAAGAGAACCTACTGCCGGTGGCTGGCATGGAACGATTTTTTACCCGGCCGTGGTGGGGACGGATGTGGGTTTTGCAAGAAATAACACTTCCAGAGAACGCAGAATTCTTTTATGGAAGCAAGAGGATTACACGACGTCGATGCACCGCCGCGTTGCATGCGTTTTGTGCTCTGCGGCTCGTCCTCATGAATATCCACATCAACAAGCTCAAACCTTTGAACGGCTATCATTTTCAAATAATTGAGGCTCTTTTCCAGCATAGACCAGAGGTCATGCTGTCTTCTTGGAATATATATAGATACTCGACATTCCCGTTGGTGGCTCTCCTACGCGCAACATGCGTTGGCAGTATAAACCCCAACCGACATGGAGCTCATCACTTGGCAGCAACTGACCCGAGAGACAAAGTATTTGCTTTATTGGGTTTAGCAGCAGACCGAAAGAAGTTGGCAAAAATGGGTGTTTTTCCAGATTATTCCAGATCGTGCGAAGAAATCTACACAACAACCATGGTGGCGATGCTTCGGCAGGGTCACATGTCTCTACTCTCCTTCTGTCAATCGCCTAAGATACAATCCAACTTACCATCTTGGGTTCCTGATTGGTCTCGATCTGCGACACATATGCTACAAGATGTGAGAAATGATCATGTCACTCTCTACCCCGAATTTAGCGCATCTGGACCACTTCCAAGTCATTCTAAAATCAGAGTCATCAAGAGGGAAGGCAAAGTTGCGGGCATCTCGTTGCAATGCTACCTATATGATGAGATTCACGAAGTCGGCTCATTCTCTAAAAGAATTTCTAGTCATGTGGTGCCTCTCAATGAAACGCATTCATGGCCAGTAAAATGGCTAGTTGAGTTTATGCGTCTGACATATCATAACAGTCAACGCTATGTCGAATTCAGCGATCGTGTACATGCAGCGGCCAGAACTTCCATTGGTGGTGTATGTTACAGCGAGAACACAGAAATGGTAAGGGTTGGTGAAGAACACTTCCTTGATGCTGTTAGACTTCTAAAAAACAATATCGAGAAGATCAAGTCAAATCGTATCAGGCTTGGACTTCAACAGCTCTGGAAAAAAGTAACCCAGATTGATAAGCCAAGGATGAAGGCCATTAGATCAAAGTTCGGCTCGGAAATTATTGGGAAGAGCTTGGGCCGGCTTCCTTTCGTTACTGGTAAAGGGCATTTGGTTCTTGGCCCCGAGTATGTTAAGCGAGGTGACTTTGTCGCTCTCATAAAAGGAACACAGGTTCCCTTTATTCTTCGGCGTCAAAGTGATGGACAGTACCAGCTAGTAAGCGAAGCATACGTTGATGGTATCATGGACGGAGAGGCAATTAAAAACGCTAGATGGTGTGAGGCAAATCTAGTATAGTAGAATTGGTGTACAAGTTTCGATTAGTCTTGATATTGTTGCTTTAGCGCACGCTAAAGATGATTAATTGGGCTCTTTAAACATTTTCTTTATAATTGCACTGGACTACTAGTTGATGGCTTAGTGTTAACTTAAACGAATCCACTAATAATAATAAGAAAAACACCTCTATAATGTAGCATAAAGTTTGGGGCTCGACATACATAATGATAATCTTATTACGTCACGAAATATATACTTCACGTTAGTATAATAATTTGTAACAGTATATAAGTCAGAACGAAGTCTGCGGCCGGCAGTTAAGATCTATGCATGGACACCTGATTAATTTACTCGGCTTGGGCTTTAGACATTGAACCATGCCTTATTCGTTGGTGTTGAACTGGCGATTTCTTTGATCACAATTTCCCCAAAGTCTCGTTGCCCAATAAGTCAATCTGGACGGCAACTCTCATCACGTAAATTAGACTACATAAGAGATGAGTCCTGGAAGATGACTGCTCTGTTCATGGTTCAGGTCTTAAGTATTGCGATCTCAAGCAGATCGGGAAGTCAGCACGTAAGTGCAAAACTTGAAGTTTGAAAGCTCTAAAAAGATTTCACTACTCGTCCATCGACCTTTTTGCAACTCTAGCTTTAACTTCAAATCTGACAGAGTTTTCAAGATACACATAGCTATTGAAGCAATGTTCAAATCGACCCACTTCATTCAAGAGGCTCATTTTTCGTTTGCTCACAAGCCTGCTTAGGTAAGGTAGCTGGCCCCCGAATTGATGGCAAATTAACTGGATTACAATATGATAGGTCACGATACAATATAAATTTGTAAATCGTTAAACTATCATGTAACCTAATTAGGGATAGGTAGTTATAATTATATAATTTATATTATAAGGTTAAATCTTATAATTATATAATAACGTTAAATCTGACTTTATATATATATAAAACTTAGGTATAAAGTATATATAATATATCGTGAAATGTAGTATTTCCGGTTTAAAGGGTAGTGTAACGGATGAAAGATTATTCTAAGGCTTCCGATTAGCTTAAAAATTCCTGCCTTGGGTATCTATTATTTAAAGTCTAATGTTAATTTATCGTTATATTATAAATTATAATAACGTCAGTAGCGTTATATAAAGTAGCCATCCCTAAACCTAATACATATAACCATTAGCCCAAATACTCGTACTGTCCAATCTTCTGTAATTTCAATCATATATAGATTGGAAACTCCCCGTTTAGGCCTATTGCTTCTCGTGAACGGATAGATTATGTAAGGAATGTCTTTGATCTGAATCGACAACTAAAAGACGGGGTTGGTCACACCAAGTAATACACGTGATTGCAGTCCAGAAGATAAGAGTCAACACACGTCCATGATGCAAGAGCAGCCTCACAAGTATCAAAAACACAACTCTATTCACACAATTCATGAATCACTGCAATAATCATCCATTACCGAACAACATCTTTTCAAATTACCCAACAATGGCTTCGGATTCCCAAGATAACCAAGAACACTCCGCTGTCACGGGCGCGAAAACACCACCATCCAATTTCACGGTCGTCAAAACATACGACCCTAAGGGAGACCTCACTCTCCATCGACTCTCCACTGCCACCGCTTTTACATGTGGTCGATGCAACAAAGAGAAAAAGGCGAAGCTTGTTGCTACAAACTGGAAGAGATGGAATGACCTTCGTTGCAATGGTTGTTATGGGAAGGTTCTTTCAGAGGGCTGAAATGAGCATGGCAAGCTAGTGACGACCGGCAGGAGGAAAGACGCCTTGGAGGAACGCTGGGGTTTGGAAGGGCCAACTGTGTTGAACAGCCAAAGGCTTATTATGTTGATGCAATCGTGGGTTTGAATATCAGGGTTCAGGGCGGTGGAGGAATACATGACGGAGTGTGCAATATTACAGAGTGAAATGTCGTCCCAGCTTGTGAGCTGTAATTACTTCACTTGTCGAGGAAGAATGTTGATTGAGTTTCATGAGAAGCCTTTTAGCGGCTGAAACGTTTTATTTCGCTATTAGCCTGTGAACTAAGGCTTTAAAATTCCTAGAAGGGTTATCTCAATTTGATATCAAAGGCTTGAAAACAAACAATAAGTCTTGAATTTGCATAATGACTATTTACTATCAGTCTGTAAACAAACTTCCAAATTTCATCACGTACTGCGTAGCGCACATGTCAAGCTTTATCCGGTATGTGTCCGGACAATGTATCCGGACAAGGAGAGAAGAGAGCAAGAGAGAAGAGAGTAAGAGAGAAGAGGCTTATATAATCTCAAGTGTTTTGACAATAGTTCACAGAGTTATGGTGCCGTGAAATATCACATCTACTGTTACACTAAGCAAATAATACACTACACCATACCAGCTCTAGTCAAGGACAGCAACTATCTTACTGCAGATCTTCATCTCCAAATGCTCTAGCATCGACAGCAAATCTGGCTTTGCCTTCCACCACCCCGTAAGTACCTTCTTCGTTTTCCAAAGCATCACGCGCAATCTTTGCCCAACGCCATCCGTTTTGAGCCCCAAGAGGCGAACGGAATGGCACAATAAACCAGATAATTACAGGGATATAGATAACTGGCCATATAAATAAAATTGGCCACAATGCCATGGCCATGGTGAGCTCAATGTCCAGATGTTTCGCCTTGGCAACACCAGAGATGGCGTAAATAAGAAGAACTCGGACCACCACTGTTTGCAGGCCAAGAAGCGTAAGCAAGCCTCCTGCACGAGTTTTGGAGAGCCGGTGATGCTGCCGAGACCAAAGGCTTAAACCGGACGAATCGCCCAAGTAGTTGAGTCCATGGAAAGGAGGTACCTGAACCCTTCTCGAATTCCGACCATTTGAATCGCTCACAGTAGTCCATAGTTCTCTTGTTCGATCGTTCACATTCAAAGTCAGCGATTCCAGAGTGCAAGTCCAGGTGATGAAGTCGCGGAGTATTGTGTAACCAAGTCCAGTGACTGAATAACAGATCACGTATACGAAACGAGTCATATTAGCTTTCCTGTTACCAGATCTTTGGCAGTGATTGTATTGATCGCCTACAATTGTATCAACACAGTCGAGTTGTACAAAGGATGATCGATAAGATAAGGTGACTGGCAACAGGAGGAGAGGCCCAATGAGCGAAAGTAACATGCCAAAACTTGCTCCACGAAGTTTAATCCAAACTTGTCTGCCGGGTGTATGATGTGCCCGAAGTAAAGGCAGGGTTCCATATAAGTTTACTGACATTTTATAATCCAGATAATCTGCCACCTGAGATGACGAAGAGATGGAACCCCCAACAATTATTTCGAGAAACGGTTTATAGGCTTCAAGAAGATTGGAATCTGCGTCAATGTCACGAAATAAGGACCATGGAGTTATCTTGGAAATGGCGAGGCCCAAAAATACGCCACAGGCATGCGCCAGAACTGCTATAGCGATCCAAGCTGGCCTCCTTGTAGTAGACAATTCAACATCAACATCTCCAGTCTTCCACACTGGGGTGAAGTCATCGTGCCACGACAAAATTTGACTTGTTTTAAAAAATGGTCCCTCGACGACAATGGATCGTTGGATGATAGCGATACTTATAACAAAGCTCCATCGTAGAATAGTGTGACTGAGAGCTACTTGCAATTCTCTTCCACTAACCCGAAGTGTAAAAGTCCGATGGATGATGTCGATCCAGTCCAGGCTAGCAGCGCGTAGATTGTCGCCATGACATGTGCCATCCTTCCTCTGTAGCGATTGAGCCATAACATGTTTCCAACATGTGTCAAGAAAAACGTTGTTGCATGCGGACGCAATCGTAGCAATACCGAAAGACGAGACCAGAATACCAGCGAAGAATGTGGTACTTGTTGAAAAGCCTGGTGCGCCTAGGCACTGAAGAATTCCTCCACTTCCGCCAATGAAAGCCCAGGTCAATGCCAATTGTGCAGGTGAGGTGTGATTGATAGCAGACAACCGTTGGCTGTTGCGCCGCGAAAGGCATTCCCTCAAGCAGGCCATCAAACATGTCGACCAAGCTATAAAAAATCCTGAAGCTACAAGTGTTCCTAGTAATACCACCCACGGTATTGCCAGATCTATGCCACTGAGAGGCCCAAAAGGCTCAAAAGCAATACCACCCGTACTTTTCGACCACAGTCCAGTTGTAACAGGGTTTGGTGTTGGGTTTGGCAGAAATGGGGTTGAATAATTTCTGCTCACAGCACATCCTACCCCCAGCTCGCATCTCACATATTCTTGAATATCAGCATCGAGTGCGCTATACCAATTAGGTGTCTGCGATGCTTGAAGACTGATGCGGAGAGCAGTCATGGCAGATTGAGAGTCGGTACGGAGTGCGTATCGCAATTGATATGAGGCAAAATATTCTTGTTTGGGATTAGCTGAGAAGATTGTTGTGACAGGCGGATTTTCATGGGTCGAATGTGTAGTAGGCAGAGTCAACGTCGACGACATTGTGACAATATCCTATAATAAAAGAGATAAGTTATTGATGACTACAGCGTGCAAGTATTTGCACAAAGATATGTAGCATGACTGTAAGAGCAACAAAGCAATTCCCTTCTCTTTATCATCAAGCTTGAAATGTGGCTGTACCCCCCGAAACAGGGAAAAGTGTATAAACTTGAACAATGCAACCAGTAAGGAAGTTGATCGACAAAAGCCCATCCACCAATACGAAACCACGGTCTCACAGCCTGCTTCCCTCTGAGACTAACAACTGGCAGATGCGTGATCACATTAATTGATAAAATCAGGAGTTGTGAGACTGAGAACATGACAAGTAGAGGCAAGGTAAGCCATTACTCTCACTCGTCGTGATTTGAGTATTGGATGACGCGGCCAGGTCTTGCCCAGACGCTTGGCTGTTTTATTATTATTCGTCCAACGCTGGCGAGCGATACTAAACGCGAAGCCCGCGAGGGCAGGTAGATTCTCAAGGTCAGTCACAAGCACCAAAGTACTTTTTAAGGGCTTTTCCATTTACAGATTGAGATACATTCGGCTGTTGGCCTTCGCCTTTTACATAGCCAGCCTCAATCGCGATAGCAAAGCGTAGCCAAAGGGTCACCATTGCGTTATGATTTTGCGTCATGTGTTTGAAGCTCTCTTGTCTGGGACGCTTCTGGGGGACTTCACTGGCGCGGTCGCTCTCAGATAAGAAATCCCAGATATGTTGATACAGCGCGAATGGTTCATACATCCCTTTGAAGCAAACTCATGATTAACAGCAAGACTCACTTATAATTTGGGCATTACCTCAGATAGTGATATATGGAGCGAATGGTCGCTGCTTCGTATGCAGCACGTAGGTGGCTGCCTGTGGAAGCTTCCAGAACAATACCACATTTAACTTGAGTTTTTTCTTTTTTTGGAAAAAGAAATACTATATAACTTCGCATTATACAGTCAGCTTACCTTAACTTTAAAGGAACATTGTTTCATTACATATCGCATCGCATACAGTAGAATTCGAAGTCAGCTTCATAGCCGACTCTCTCTACATAAGCTTTAGAACCATACTTGTTAGCTGGCACTAACTTGCTATCGCTAGATCCTCGAGATTTGCCGACAGTGGATCTATAAGCAAGTTGACTCCATACTTGACGATGTAGAAGCCGTGTAAATTCCTTATTTTTTGCTAGGCACACCAGAGAAGAAAGGCTTAAACCCGAGTCCCACTTCAAACACCTCAGTACGACTACTGCATTTCCATCTGGTTAAACAACCTCTCGCCCTCGACATCACACGCCGAATCCACCCAAGAAAACCTCTTCATAATAACCCTCACCTCATCCCACTCCCTTATCTTCAAAATAGTAGCTAGAATATTTAATTGCCCCGTGAACCATGGCCTCTGATTCTGTCCCAAAGCAGCGATACCGCCAATCACAACACACCATAACACCAGCTCGACCATCTCTCTACTCGCCATCAACAGATCAATCTCTTCAATCACGGGCCTTAGTAGCGATAAGAGTTTCTGCCGAGGCTGAAGGGAGCGTGGAGTAGGAAAGATGACGTGGATGCAGTAGATTAAGGCTGCTAGGCGACAAGCTTCGTAACAGTGTTTCATCCTACGTGTGTCTTCTAAAAACATGTCGTCATGATGTTGTGGTGAAGGTAGGGACAAAAGGTGATGGAGAACCCAGTTTCTGTTATCGGCTAAAGCTTCTGGAATATTAGAGCTATTCTCGTAGATTTGAACTGTTTCAGAATAATCTTTCATCCTCAAGAATACGTTGATGAATTCGTCGTGTAAACCACCGGCTTCCAAGTATGATAAGCCGTGTGCTGCTACCTGGGATTCATAAGCTGAATCTGCAAGGATGCTATGAGTACTCAACAAACGGTACTCAATATCGCGACCATATGGATCGAGTAATGCGTGCTGTGGTCGATCAAGTGTCGTCGCACAGGCTATGAGCTCTGAACTAGATGCTCGCTTAGCTCGAATGCGCCTGGGAATACGAAACAGAAATCAACATACCATGCAATACACCAAGGCAGACCAATAGCACCGATATTCCGATTCCCACCTCTTCTCTTGATAATCTCTTCCGCTGCGATCACATGAGCCATATGGTATTTCCGTACGCCATAGATCTCAAGCCACTGCAAATTCCGAAGCGGCGCGGAGAAAGGTGACCAGTCTGGTGGGTCCTCCTCATCCTGCGTCTCGTTCATGCCGAGGAATAGCATGCTCTGGACCAGTTCATCAGAATCGAGTTGGTTTCCGTTTCTGAGGGTGTCGAGAATCCCACGTAGTGCTTCTCCTTTGTATTGGAACTGCTCCAGGCGAATATTTTCTTTGGAGCCGGAGAAGGGGAGGGGACCGCGGTTGCTTTCGAGGTGGGTTAGTGCTGTGAAGAGGACCATGTTTAGGACTATTGGGTTTCTAGCTGCTCTGTTAAGCCTTTGATCTTAGTGTCAGCGTTTCGTTCCACGATACATAGCTAAGGCTCCGTGTAGGAATTGATGTTTATCGAATGAAAAGGTTTGAACTAATAAAACAAGGCGGAGTCAAGGGCTTTGAGAACTTACCAGTCCCGTGCATATGCAAATGCAAATTCAGAACTCCGAATTTTAGTCCACACTGTGTGTACATCTAAAAGACGTGATAGTTAGTTGGACTATAAAGATCTGAAAAAAGGATTTGAAACCGAGCGAGTGATCTTGTTAAATATCCAGAATTGCATGAATTGCTGATTTTGATTTTAAAATGCCGATAATTACACCTGGATTGTCTCGATTATGGGAAAGAGACAATATCAGAAAAGAGGTGTGTGTACATACTATAATCCACGAGCTCATGATATCGCGTCGGAACAGTTCCAGTCTCAAGACGCAGAAATGGGTCATATCTTCCAGCACTAAGCATTGTCTGTATTTGAGGTCTTGCATTCATCATCTGGACAGCTGCTGTTTGATACCCGCACGTACAAGTCGCTTTTGCACGTATCTCTCTCTGAGACGATCTTCGAGGAGGACGCATAGCCAGGTTTGGTGAGTGCCGAGTATTTCGACGAGCATGCTGCATAACATGTGTTCGTACTTTGGTCGAATCCTCTGCATCAACCTTGCCAGAAGCATTGTGAATGTTGATGTATTGCACATTGATAATCGTCTGTGATAAGCTCTTCTCAGGCTCAGAGGCCTTGTTCGCCATCCCGTATTTTTCTGAACCACAAATTGAACATCGTTCAGACATTCCAAAACGAGCTTCCCCTGGAGAATCTTGCATCCCTGCTCGACCCTCGATATCTCTATTTATAGAGCTTTTTGTTTCGAGTCGTAATATTGTTCATACCGTGAAGAGTTTGCTGGATATATTTCGTGCTAGTGCCAGGCTGTTGATGGTAGAGAATGTTGTCGAGACAATGACTTTAAAGACAAAGAGCAATGGAACACTATTATACCATAGGAGAGGTACAGCCTCCTCAATTTAAGGAGCTGAATCGGCATTTTGTTAGCTATGGAGAGGTTTTCTGCTGGGTTGATTGTATTGCCTTGAATATGTTCGCGTCGTGTACGTAGATACCAGGTATACCAGCGGTAAAATGGTCCCTGCGTAGCGCCACAGGGCTTGCTGCTTCAAATGCCGATTTGCACATTTTGCTACCCGGTCAAGTCTGCAAGATATCAAATCCCGACAGAACTAATCCACCCAATAGGCTTGCCGTATTGAGAGGTGTTTCAGTATTTAGGGATCTGAAGAATCTGAGGGAGTTTCTGGGTCGATATAAGGCGTCCAATAGAACTGCTCTCTCAAGTCGTTACCAGAGTCCCGGGAAATGATGCATACGCGATGGCATCGGTGTATTGATCTTGGCATAAGCATTAAACGGTGCTGCAGACTTCGGGATTAGTAACACGGATTTTCAAAGCTGTCGAGTGTTAAACCACCTCATTCATCGTGATGATTTTTGTAAGAACGCAAAAAAGCCCAGTCCTAGCTAGGAATACGTATTACAGTAGAGAACTACCGCTGTAGTATCAATAGCCGTTTACGGAGTGCGTTCCGTCATTACAGGTCGAACGATGTTGTATATATCTTTTTGTTCCTGTTTGAGGTGACGTTTGGGCCGGTTTGGCGGAAATTCAACGAGCGAAAGTGGGGTCACCACGTGACCTGACTGTCTCTCTCATATAGGCTCGAGATAGCATGAAAGTGAGTATCGGTTTAGGGATAAAGTAACAACGAATTTTTGTATTAAATTCACATTATATGGATAGTAGTTATCACCTCATCAAGCGGCTGGTGAGGCACGTGTGTAGGTCTCGACGAAGCGGAAAATCCTTGACCCGTTCCATTCTCTCTTGGAGGCACGCGAGAGTGTACTTATTATTCGTAGCGCGTTGCGGAACTGCTAGTTTTCATGCCCCGGGCATCAGATTTCGCGGCAATGACAACATAATGGTTAATATGGTTAGAGCGTACCACGGATTGCCATTCCCTGCGCCTATATAGCTATCCAACATCGACCACAGATTGCCAGCACAGAACAGAACAAATCAAACACTTCACAACTTCTTGTAAGTTACCTATATTACCTACTCGACAAGAACATCCTTGTGTAGTGCTCTGAGATTCGCTACATATCACCCTTCACCTCAAGCTTCAACTGCCAAAACTCCTATGCCTCCACCCCAATCGGCCAAGATGTTTGGCATTGCCACGTTCGCAGCCTCGCTTCACATCGCAACGACTGTACGATTGTACGTGTAGACTCCTACTATCTTAGAAATTATCTCGCTGATAAGTAGATCTAGACTATACGAGCGCAAATCCCTGAAGAGCACGTTAGCCCAGAAAACGCGCGACGTCGACTCGGAGAATAACAATTCTTAACTACTTGTGAGAGTCAGGAAGTATTCAAGACTTCCAAAACCGGTTACCCAGATTCAAATCACGTAGCTTGTCCCAGGAGTCTAGAGAAATGCCTCGCATTATCAAGAACTACGACTCCGCTGTTTGGCTTCTTGTGAGTTTTGCGACAATGTTGGGTTTCTTCAATTCGTCTTTGTATGTTATGGTCCTTAAATCCAGCCAATGTTGTCACTAATCTACATGAGCAGGCAAAAGAAAAACGATCTAATTGAAGAGAAAATCAAGCGCATCGGTCGGGAAACCGGCAATGATAAAAAAAGTTCAATTCCCCAAAAGGATAGAAAAAATTAAAAAGAATTAGTTGCTTCGGCGGAAAAGTCCACCAGAAAGAAAAACCAACAGAAACCTCATGCTGCCGGCCTATGTTGCGGTGCCGAGACTTCTTTGATGAAAAAGGCTCAAGTTCAAAAATAAATTTCAAAAAACAAAAGGAATGGTGGTTTTGAGGGAATGTCCTTGGAGTCCCCGGGAAAAACCAACAGGAACCTCATGCTGCCGGGTTGTTGTGGTGTGGAAATCTTTTGGATGAAGATCATGATTACAGTCAGGGAGTTTCTTGGAGAGAACGGTTCAGAGATATCAGTCTGCGGCTAACCACCACAATCTTCTGTCCAGTTGGAAAATTCACCGAAGCTGTGCACACAACCAGTGCGTCTGCTCTCTTGCATTTGAGCGAATCATTCAGACTAACACAGATGTAGACTCACCCTCATTGCTCGTCCACCAAGATCTTACTCCACCGACGCAAGCAACACAGCGATCAACACAATCTACGAAGTCCCGACTCTACTGACGCTTCGCGAAGAAAACTGCGAGCAACACAGCGAGCAACAAAATCTACGAAGTCCCGACAAGCTAGCATACAACTTCCAGAACCTCCACAACTTCCACAACTTCCGAAGTGTATAACAAGCCAGGCTACATATAGCTCTATCAATCCCTCCAGATGGGCTTATTTAGACATTCTATTCGACTACCGCACCTAGCAGGTTGTGCGGAGAACTCGGGGCACAACCTACGCATACACACAAAAGACTACTACCTTTCCTCTGTCGAATAATCGATCCCAACTCATAGTGCTGCTGGACAGTATACAAACCACGGCTGCAAAACGCCTCGAACGAACATACCCACACTCCTCCGAGTCGAAGCTCAGTCTGTGGCAACACTACTCGCACTTATCCTGACGGATTGATTCCATCTGGCGGGGAAAATTGCCGTCGAACGGCCCTCTAGTCGCACGCTTAACGGCACAAAAAGCTTTCTAGCACTGGTTATCCATGAGTTTTACCTTGTTCAAACACTGTACTTGCTCTACATTATGTAAATCAAAAGCTCCGAGCTTAGCACGTCTCTATATCCCACAGAGATTCCAGGTCGAACTACTATCGCAGCACTGGACCGCCAGACGAAAATCACCACCATCCTCATCAGCTCTATCAACACCTTCCCTAAGCTACGACATTCAGACGGACGGGCTGCTACGGCCACGCTCCGCCGAGGACGAAGAGCCATACATTGTCATATCACACCTCTCGCAACTTACGACGTCCGAGTGAATGGATGAACACATTGTCAGATTGGGTGATGGAGAAGCGTCGAAATAATGCAGGAATGTGCTTGTTCTTTTGAGTGAAGAGGGAAATTTGGGGAGTACATTGTCGGATGCAGTATATTCGGAGTCAAGCGAGCGTTGTGTTGGGATGAAGGGAGGTGCAATGAGGAACTCTATGCAGTACAACATAGGAGGCAGGGTGTCCGAAGGCATATCAGACGTATATTGGAGAAAAGCAGGATGATACCACTTTTTATGTTCTAGACAAAATCTAGAAATTTAACGAACGGCCAATGTGCCAGCCAAAGCCAAAGTTGCCTTACGGTGAACCCGTTAAGATGGTGCAATATTAAATCATCGCCCCTCTGTTGTGTATGGCCCGTGCTGGAAGGTGATTTAATCAGTACTGCACCTTACGAAGTCCTACTGCAGAGCCCGTTGAGATGGTGCAAGACGCTAGAGGCTCGTTTGGCATCCAGTGATTTATTTTTGGAAAATCCATAGTGTCTGGATTAAGCGGGGATATCTCCACTGAATACACGCACGACATACTGAGCTGCAGATGATTGACCTTGAAGACTTCTCGGCACTTGCCATTGAGCTCAAGTGAATACAAGTAATTGACTTACGCGTATACCCAAACACGAGGCTCTTGACAAGGAGACTTACATGAACGTGATGATCAACCCCACGTCTCGAACGACGGTGGACGGTCGTACAGTAATCATGGGGCGGGGGTCACCGGTGAGCTTCGACATTTCCTGGCGTCTCGATTGAAGTCAGGTGAATAAAACGGTTGGAAGATAGATGAGGCTACACAAATGTTACCGGATGAATGTCCATCCTGGCTCATCAACAGGGTAGTGGAAGACAAATGAAGCTTCTTTGAGCCATCCCGAGTCCAGCCAGCACGGTGTCGGGTGGGAAACGCTGCAGAGCCATGCGACACAGCTTGCCAGCCTGCAGTGAAACGGCGAGGACAGCAGCATGACTGGCCGATGACAGCACATCAGCATCTCAGTCTGCAGGTTTACCGAGGAGACAGGAGGGAGGGTTATTCGCTACTTCCGCCTCACTTGCATCATACTTTAGCAGAGGTTGCCTGGTACATACCCGCACGTGGAGAAGTAAAGTGACGGTAGTGACTCGCACCGTTTGAATCCTCGCTTGAACATGAGTTTGAATGAAAATCCAGTCGAGAAGTTGCAAAGGAGCAAAAGCAACGCGCGGAAGTTTCTAACCCTTAGGTCGATTTCCGGGGCTCGCTTAGCACATCCAAGCTCCAGAGCTAAAGGCCGACAGTATCCGGCCTAGTTTTTGAGAACCGATCACGAACTGGAAAGTGAGGAACCATCTTTAATCATCACATCCCACAAGTACAGACACCATCCATTGTCCTACATCCCCTTATCCACAGCCACGATATGTTGAGTTATTCATGATAGGGAGGTGAAACCAGCATTATCGACCGTCGCGGCGACACAATGGACGAGGCGTCAAGGCTGGTGTCTGAGCTGCACTCGAAGCTCGCGGCGCTGGACGATAAAGTCGCCCGCTATCAGCGAGACATGGCGTCGGAATTCACCAAATACGCGGCAGATCTTCTGCGAAATGTACCAAAGGATGTTTCTGACGATGTGTCGAGGAGAATTGCTGAGTCGGTGAGGGAGTATCCATCGTTGAAGCTCGACCCAGGCACCATTGAGTCATGCGCCGACGCGACAGGCTGCAGCAACAGTGGCGGAGTCGATTCACCAAATGGAGATTTGATAGTAACAGAACATGTAGAGAGGGCACAGGAAGACGAGGAGGACCCTCCACGAAGCCCGCACGAACGAGAAAAAGAATTCCAGGGACTCTTTACACCCTTTTACCTACCTCTCCTCGATAGTAACGATCGCAACGAACGAAGGTCGAGCAGTGATTTGAAGGCAGCAGTACCAGTGCCTATAACAGACACGAATACCATGGATAATGCGGGAGTCGACGCCAGTACGGATACAAGATCACTAGCAGGCACTCCAGAGCCACCCAGACCGCCCCTCCCCAAACGAAGAAATACAGACGAAGTATCCTCAGGGTCTTCGGATTTGGGCGACGGGATCACTCGTCGAAGTGCATTGCGCAGATCCTCTACTTCGTCCACAAGAAACAGCCCACGTCGAGTACGATTCGAAGTCGAAGGTGAGGAGGTCCTTCCCACATCCTCGCCATATACCTCCGAATTACAGATGACGCAAGACCTACCAGTAACATACCAAATACTTGGCGAAGATTTGGAAGACGTTGGTGAATCGGAACAGATAGAGGATATAGAGGATATAGATGAAGAACAGGATCTAGACGAAGAACCACCCCCTACAAGACGCGTCTCCTCGTCGCAAGCATTGAGAGCGTTGTCCCGAGGTCCATTCGTAGACGACGGGACTCAATGGACAACCGTCTCTGCGCCGCCTGATGGTTCAGCTTCAATTGCTGTCTCGGGTGATTCACCCGCTCTATCTACACAATCATCCACGGACGACTTACCAATCATCAACGGCATTTCACGTGCACCGCCAGAAGAAAATATTTTAAGCTCAGACTCGCCGACGTCTGTGTTTACATCCCAAAACACAACTGCAAACAGCCGATTGGCTCAACCACAAGCAATGCCTTCCTCTGACGACATTCTAGCGCGACATGAGTCTGACGACCCCGAATATATGTCTGACGAAGAAGAAGATGATATGCTAGATATGCCTGCACTTACATCCATGAAAGGAAAACGATCTAACGCGCCTCAACCTTCCTCTCTCTCTTCTTCTGGTGCCACCCCAACGCGATCTCCAACTGCAGCTACCATGACCCGCGGGGTTGGTTCCATGAATCTTCTCGATATCGACCAGAAAAAGGCCACTGATGAGCTAGGCAAATTACGATTCTCCGCCGATGATGAAGATGAGATGTTCACGTTCGACGACAACGACCATCGCCCAAGCCCTCCAGAAGAAGAAGACGATGATTCTGAACCCGAGAGTTCTTCCCCTATATCTCCGACTTCACCTGGATCTGGCGATGACGTACGTGAAGCTTCAGGCCTTTCGAAATCTCCAGCACGTCCTATCGTCAAGCCTGCAAGTCGCCGTGAGATGGGTTCTTCTGGATCTGGAGCTACAGGTTCCTTGAGGGGCCACCCATTTCAAATGCCTATTGTCAGTCCTGACGTGCACGCGGCAGCCGCTTCTATGGGAGACTTCAATTCATTCGTCGGCAGTGTCCACGGGCGTAGTGGTGTGGATGACTGTGACCCAATGGCATTCAGAAACAGCATCGGCAAACCAACCTACCAGGGCAACGTTCGACCGCTGACCATGCAAGACCGCCTAGCACACGATGAATACCATAAGGGGAAACAAGCAGATACTCCGATTGAGTCGCCAAAGAACAAATAATCCTCTTCTGATTCTGGCTACTACATATTTACGCTTCTACATCGACATTCATAGCTGGTCTGCGAAATCGAAGTTTGAGGGAAATGGGGCTTGATACGGTTGTTGCGAGGAATTGATACACTGTATTGCATGTTAGGCTGGCGTTTGGAAAAATCTGTTGATCAGCGAACCACCACTCCGTTGGTAATCTTTGCATATGAGAGCTCGATTGTGTTTACGAGGGGAATAGCATTTTTAGGGTGTTTGTAGCCGGAATTGCATGGGTGTGGTGGATGTATTTGAGAGCCACAGCGACGATGGGATGTCTACTACCTACGAAAGCGCCTTTACATAAAAGTACTGATATTAGAATCGGTGAAGCAAATATTACTTTATTATTCTAATGTTGTTTTGTCCCTGAATTCTGCGTTGGGCTGTGAGTCATGGAGCAGGTTTGTTGGGGTTGGGATTTCTGTGGTGCTGTTATCTGACGGATGGTGCAATTGTCTCGGTACATACGTACGTGGTTCGCTTATTCTTTCTAACTGTGATTGTTTACATGCCCACCAGGGACCTTGGTATTGTCCGTGGATGAATGTTTGATTAGGTATCTAATCTCAGACGACTATATCTAACCGAAATATTCTGTGTATCTGCCGGTTAAATAGATGTGTAGTGAAGGTGGGGATGTCTAGTCGTCAGATTACCCTGGGACGAGGATTTTCTGGTCGGTGATTCGTTTGTTTTTGGGGATAAGTTGGGGTGTGTAATTGGGAGTATCTTGTTGGGGCTGTGCTTGGGGTGATGGGTTTCTTGGTTGGGTGGTGGAGTGAAGTTGAGGAGGGTTGTGTTGTTGATGTTGATGGATTTAGGATAGGTTTGAGTTTGGTATATTTTCTAGTGGTTTGATTAATTGAATACTTGGAGTTTGGATTGGGATATTTGGTAGAGTAATTTATCTAGACAAGTAGGGTTTAAAGGACTATTTAGGTGTATAGTGCTAAATGTAAGGATTCTTTTAAGATACTAACATGTAAGTGTTTTGCTTTCGGGAGACATTATAGACGATAGACTTTAATAAACAAATCAAGGGTCGAGCTTTGCTTAGACTCTATGGATTCAATTTTTATAATCTATATATATATAATATATGCTTTCTAAATTTTACATCAGTAAACAAAAGCAAATGTCCGGAATTATATACTGATACTCCATCACGTGATCATCATCTATCAATGCAAATGCATCCTAATCACATCGATAACTCACCCTACTCACCCCTTTACTCCTACTAATCTTCCTAACCTCAATCCTCCCCGTCTCCCCACAATCCCCCACATGCGTCCCCCCACAAGGATAACTCCCCAACCCAACCATCTCCACCACCCTCCCCAACTCCTCCCCCTCCGGCAAAGCAAACCCCTCATCCACGCCCTCACACTCCCTCCTCAGCCTCTCCATCGGCCAAAAATGAATCTCAACTGCCCGCTTCGACGCTACAAACTCATCCACCTTCTCCTGAATCGCCGCAAGCGCCGAACCGGGGATATTCCCGACGAACTCCACAGCCGCGGATCCTGGGTAATGCGACGCCTTGCTCTCTACTAATTTTGGCAGCTTGTCCTCGCGCGATAGATGGTTGATGGCGAGACCGAGGATATGACCCGCGGTATGCAATCGTGAATGTAAATCCCGTTTCGCCCCGTCAATCACCTGATTCACTTCCTCGCCAACCGCAAACCCATCTTGGCCACTCGATTCATTGAAGCGGCCGAAATGCAGTATCCCGCCGCCCTCAGCGGGATGGCGTACGGAAGATACCTCGAATTTCGCAGTTGAGGTCGAGATGACGCCGGTGTCGGTGGGTTGGCCGCCGCCTTGCACGTAGAAAATTGTGGAGGTGGTGATGAGGGCGTGGTCGTTGGGTGTTACTTCTTTGATGAGGGATTGGTCTGAGGGGGGGAGCGAGGAGACGGGGGTTAGGGAGAGGATTTTTGTGAGGTGTTGCCGGAGGTTGCCGTTGGTTTGGTAGAGGAGTTTGGTGCGGGCGGCCATTTTTTTGTGGATGTATTTGTTGTGATATCTTGGATGTGGTTTGAGAATGGGGGAGTGAGTAGTGAGATGAAGCGAAGGTGTCGTACCGGTAGGCACCGTGAAAGTGATAGACCGGGCGCTTGTTAAAATGATTACTAAGGTAAATCACTTAATAAAACAAAAGCTCTCTTGAGCTGTGCACCTAGATTGTCTGATAGTGTAACTATGGACCATAATAACTTCTTCATCAGTAAGATCTTATTTTGGGCTTGTCGTAATGTTTCAAACGGAATTACGATTAGTCCAATCAGTCTATCGTGGTTATAAGGCGGTGAGTTAAAGTGGATATTCTGCCACTCGACCGTCTGGCGAAGCTTCATCCTTTCCTCCAGGCAACCGTCTTTACTCCGTAGGCACAAATGTAGAGAAGTCGAAACATCAACAAGATCATGACTCCCATAAGGTGCTCTTGCAGCATCTGTGGTCATGATATCTATGATAACACAGTTGATGATTCCCCCACATGGTTGAACCAATTTCGTATTTGTGAGTTACTGCTCGTTGTAACGCTGAGTGAGAACGCTGACAATGGAATGCCCATAGTATACTCAAGCCCAAAAGGGGTATCTGTCTCCGGAGTGGGATATATTGTAGACTCGTCCTATAGCGACTGGATTACCCCCTTAAATTACACAGCGCGCTGGGACGACACAGAATCTGATGCCTCAACACAAGGGCTGATCGGAATGTTTAACCAGGATCCTGAGGATGATCGATGGGGTATTCCGTTCCACGCGTCTTGCTGGTCTCTTTTGGAAAGGGTTTATGGCCCCGATGAAATTCCTAGCGCGGCTCTTCTCGAAATTTGCAAGTCACTTCCCCTACCACTGCTAGGAGATTGCATCGATTGGGGTCATGATTTTGAAGGATTATTTCGTCCAGATGACCAGGTGCGCTATCCTTGGGAGGATCGATCAATCACCCTGGTGGACGCGGACTCCCCTATAGGGCGTTCTGCACGGAATGATCCCTACAATGTCCCAGAGATTGCACAACTCTTGGGCGAGAATCCTCAAGCCCCGCCGGCTTCAAATCTACTTGAACCGGCTAAGGTTGCCAACGACTGTTTCGCAGCGCTTCCAGAAGATGTTTGCTTCATAATCGCATCAAACATGCCAACTGTGGACGCTCTAAAACTCCGTCACGCATCAGCATCCTTTTGGCCTATATTCCGCAGCCAGCAGTTTTGGGGTTTGAAATTCAAGGCGTCTGGTGAGCGCTCATGGCTTTGTGAATCACAGAAATTGGACAAATCCTACAATTGGTTGTGGTTGTATCATCGCACGAACAGAGCTCAGCGCAGCGAAAAGTTGCAAAATCGGAGAAGGATTTGGAAATTGGTGGAGCAGATACGTGAGTCACTGGACTTCGAGCGAACAAACTTACCTCTCACTTTTTGTTCCGATCCAAACCTAGCCAACATGCGGTGGCTTGAAGTAACTGGCGATATAAGGCCCGAACGTGAAGAACCATATACTGGTTTCTTTGAGGGTTGTCGTTTGTTATACGAGCAACAGACATCAATCCATCCGTCTCTGTCTGAAATCGAGTTTTCGTTTGTGCCGCTAGGTAGTGTGAGTTACGTTGCCGGAATAAGACTCCTCTCCAGCTCATGCGAAGCCATACAGCTGGGCTATAGGGCGCATAGAAGTGAGCGCGTTAATATTAAATCCTTGATTGGGTTCAACTTGGTTGTGGGATCCAGAGGTATACAAGCCGTCCAGTGCATTGTTAACAACAGTGAGGTGTCTAAATGGTTTGGCTGTCTAAGTGACGCTCCAACAACGAGACGTTTAACTCTTTCTGCTCCTATAACCGCAGTGAAGGCGGGATTTGATGTAAGCAGACTAAACCTCTTCCTTTGATCAGTGTCAACTGAATGCCACTAATAATATGACAGGGTTGCAAGATGATTAGTCTGGCAATTGCAGATAGCTGTTCACGTGATCCCGAGAATGAATCATTACGAGATCTCGCCATGTGGTATCCCAGCGTGCCCCCGATCAATCTGCACTTACATGAGGCTTGTTTTGAGGCTCGGAAGTCTGCAGTGAATAGGTTTCAGCCTCTATGCTGGACCTTGTTTGGAGGGCATGGAGGGAAATATCTTCAATCCTTGACTGGTGTTACCGTAACCTACAGAGCTCGGGTCTCTGGTGTCGAGTTCAACTACAACACCGAACAAGTCCCGGCAGAATGTCGTAAAGTCGGCCGGTATAGGCCTCATACGTTTGACACGGTTTCTTATTTTCCAATTGATGGCGCCGGAGGGGAATACATTGACACCATTCATCTGTTCAGGACATTTAGTAGTGGCGCAGAGATGTACTGGTACCAGAAAATCGGAAAGTTAAAGTCGTTCAAGGTACGTTGCTCGTATCCAAAAATACCCCGTGCTCTATCAAGCCGTTTTGACCCAGACTTTTACTTATTTCAGATTTCGACAAATCGTGGAAGATCGTGCCACTTCAATCAGCGGGATTCTGGACGTGTGGGGGAGTGTGTGACTCTGGTTCCAGGGACCACAGTCACTGGTTTTTATTGGAGTCAGGTAAGCCGGAATCGTACTTCTCTGGTCGGATGGTGCTAATTAGTCTGTACTCCAGCGTGAGAGTCACATTACAGATCTTGGCGTCATCTCGGAAACCATTGACCAAAAATGATAGAGACGGTGCGTCAACAATAGTCTACAACTTACTACCGACATCTTTATATTTATCGAACTCTCACGCAGCTATCCAGCGTACTTTTTTCAAGTCGGACTATCGTAAGACTAATAGGGCGATCGATAAGCTTACACCATGTGATGATTCGTGAGCTTTGTCTACTTATCTAGCTAGGATGATACGAAAATCAAGGTGCGGAAGTAAATGCCTTCATCGAAGTATTCTTATGTTCCCCACATTTGTATAAGCTTTACTCTCATATCTAGACTAGGCGGTGAGTTCTTCTCAACTTACCATCATTTTTGCTTAGTCGCTCTTTTCTTGTCGCTTGACTTTGGCAACCAAAAACATGCAGAGTGCCAGATTTTCTAATGTATGTCACTAATCCAGTGCTGTTGTTAAAGCCTTTCAGTGCGCTCTGGCAGCGTTTCTTGGTAACAGAAGTGAAGAGGCCTAGAGAAGGTATTTGCTGGACGATATCGAAATCCTAACCTTGGTTGTAGCTCGTCGTACAGTAGGACAAGATTATTCTCCTTTCTAACTACTCTATTAGCAACTTGTAAATCAGCTTAGTCGACAAGATAACAAATTTCGACTACTGCTAGAACCTAACTGATATCTCCTGCTTGCCGGACTAGATACTTACTAATCCGAAATCATACCCGGAAAATGCATTAATATTGGAATACTTGGTATGGAAAAAGAACTCATTAACTTCTGTAGGGTATCATGAACCTTCTGTTGGTGCAACCCAAAAAAAGGTTCGGCGGCCTATGAGATGGGCCATTTTACCCTACGGGAATTAGATAGAACACATGAGAGAAAGACCCATTTCGCTCCAATTTTAAGTTTCGGTGAAAGGATGCAGCTTGGTTTCGTATGAGTCACATGACTACCCCCTGACTTGAAGTAACCGAGTTGCCTTCAAGCTAGCGTTGTTGCCTGCTCAAACTCCATTTATTGTTAGCAAGAAAATTGAAAAACTTCCCATCTTTTCAAATTCTTAGCAAATATTTGACGCCGAAAAGAACCCTTTCTTGATTGAACTGCTTCTTCATAAACATGGCACAAGAAAATCCACTCGAAAATCGTGAAGGAAATAGTGGGGTTGCTCCCAGGAATTCGGGTAGAGTCGTTGCACAGAGCAACACCATCAAAATCGGTGTAAGTACTTCTCTTGCGAAATAGACGAACGAAGTAATATGTCGGTAGTACATGTATTGTGATGTCATCCAGTTTTACTACAATCAACTTAAAGAATACCCCGACGACTCATATGTTGATTTCTTATGGAGCCATATCTTGAGGATGTACTTCACCCTAGACGGTGGCTATGGTGTTGAAATACCGATCACAACTCCGCCGAGTACGTTTAGTGTGCGCTGTATCAGACAGGTCCCGCATTTTCACCTAAGGAAAATCTGGCTTGTTGTGGATAATCGAGTGGAGGAGGAGGTGAACAGCTCAACGTGGGACCAGGGAATCGAGCAGCTGGGGAGTGTTTGAAGACTACACGTGATGAGTACGCGAGTGAGATGAAAGTTTTGTGTGGGATCGTGACGGTTGGTCATTATTCCAGATTCTACGAATTGCATGAGGGGAAAGAGGAATTAAGCGATCATACGAAATGGAATGGCACAACTTTGCAGTTCAAAAACAATGAAGCAGAGATTGATGCTATCCTTTGCGATATCCTCGATAAAACCGGGCATTCGAAAACAAGAGAAGAAGAACCCTCGGCTGCTGATTCTTTGGAGCGTCCTCCTGCCCCCGTATGGGAATGGGATGCAATTGCCCAAAAGTGGAAAAGTTGGAGTGGTACGACATGTACTGGTACGAATATGTCTCGGAATCTACTACTTGAGAGATTAGTGTATCGGCTTCGATTGGATATGATTAGTTTGGTATTATTTTGACCACATGGAGAATCGAAAGCCCATTACACTGATGTGTTATAATTATAAATGAGAGAATGCAATGCCAACTTGAGGATGAATCATAACCCCCACGAGTTTGGTTACAATTATCCATAAAGTGAGGTGTTCCTGAAGGTTACGAGTAATTGAGGAGGTATTAAGAACACGATGTGGTGGTGGCACGGCTGTTCACCTGGCCATGGAAACAGGCTCATGTAGCAGAAACATTCTGCACAAGAGATTGGCCAGTCCAGGTGTTGATGCTGCGACTGTAGTAGCTAGAACGTACAATAGACGAGCGCACCTATCAGCATAGCTGGTTGAATTTACGGCATAAGTCTTCATACGAAGGGGGGTTGGTAGACAATAGAGTGACAATAACATTCCAATCCGAGCCCGCAGAGCTCTGTGTGACGGCAGTCATCGTACACACTCGTGCGCATCTTGGAAAACGTACAGTACAAGCCATTCGAGCCTTAAATCACGGGCATTTCATGTCAGCGTATTTAGCTTATTGGGTAGGATCGGATTAAAGTTGGGGGACGAAAATCGAGCTTTATGATTGGAAGAGGAAAAGAGATAGCCGCCGGCAGACCAGCAGAATGGCCTAATTAGATACAGAATTCCAGTTTTTTCCTCCTCTATTCAAACTTGGTCGAAAAGTATAACGAAGACGCATTGGAAGAGAAGGACAAAGGGACAATAATGAATTTACAGAAGGACTCGCAGACTAACTCGAAGAGAGAGATGAAGAACGAAGGGGACAAGCTCGCTTCAACTCCTCCATAGAAGTACAATACTTTGCGTGGCGACAATCTACTGCAACTCCGCCAAACGAGTAAACACCAGCTTAAAAACATCTGGACACGTATCAAAAAGAAGAGGTTAAAACGTTGTGTGAATTGCCACCAAGATTCCTAATATTATGTTACTAAATTTGGCCTAGCGCTTGAAAATATAAATACAGGCGACGCATTTGCAGAACGTGTCCTTGTAAGACATTAAAGTGCCGTAGTTCTATATGGAGGCTAAAACTACATAAAACATCTTTTTAACCTAATTAACTTTTATACAAAGTCTGTTGAGATTTAATCAATTCTCCCAAGTAAAAGTTACGATTATTATCGCTTTGTTTCCACTTGTTCGGAACTCGAATAAAGGTTCTCTGTCGTACAAGGATTCAACAGCAATTATATTGTAGGTAAAAACCCATGACTTATGTAGATAATTGGGCGGGAAGCTACAGGACTATGAATAATTTTTCTTTTACATACTTTTTCTTCATTCTTGAGAGAGATATAGTAATTGGGTCTACTTGTTAAAATGTATATCTTACTCTAAACCCAGAAGCTCCGAAAGCAATAAATATTTGTCATGATAGTATCGTCAATAACAAAAGGTAATATTATTCGTCTAGTGGGGTTTAATCTTGCTATTTGGACTCAAGTTCACAATAGCGTATCCTGGCATTGAATCACACCCTGGTAATGACTGCGGACTACTTGTATTTCTAAGAGACTCCCGAATGCCCAACTAGCGAAAATCTTTGTCCAACTTCCTTAACCCGAGCACACTAATGAGTTTGAAATATCTATCCCGTTTAAAGAAAACTCCTGTTGTTGATGATCATCATTTATTTCGTTATCAAGGTCTAAAAGTTGCAAAAAGCTCTCAGCGAGATGATTGACACTTTTCAACCCTTGCAGTACCAAAATAATCTCTTGAAGCTGCATGTTGAAACATTCGTCGGGATTCTTATGTGTTTTGAAGAATCTTGCACATAGGTAAAGGGGCACCGGTGTAAAAGGGTGGACCTTTTGGACTTAGCACTTAACCTTTTCATCGATGACCAAGGCGAAAATTGCCAGCAACTTACCTTGAAAAAGCTCAATTGTGCTAATGTTTTTGTGAGATCGACAAGTTCTTGTGCAGCACGTAATGCAAGACTCTTGTATTCCATACGTATCATCAATTCTTCCTCCGTCTCGAACATGGCATTTTCCAAAGTCTTGTACAAATACAAAACAGTTGTTTTCGCCAGCATTTGGGTAAACAGTAACATGGGGTCAACATATTGGGAGGTAGCAGGGTACTTAGCCACCATCGTTTGCATTGTCTGTACCAGTATCGCGTTAACACATTGATGTCGATCCCAGAAATCTGACGAAGGAGTGGCACAAATATCTTCGACAACAGCCTGATTTCTGTGGGATAGCGCTCGTCCGAAAATTGTGTTCACCACAATGCATTCGGCCCACGAGGACGATAAAGTCTGGTGATTTGTACCGACAGCCTCTGATAAGAAGCACATCAAGATGGGTTGGCCACTCTGGAAGTTTGTCTCAGGTGCTGGCAAACGTGTCATAATCTGTGTCGCAATTAGAAGACATATCACTACGCGCCCACAAAGACTTACAGCTTGCTCACTCAATGTTAACGGCCTAAAGGTGTGTCAAATCAGTACAATCATTTCGCACAAGTCTAATGCATTTTGGGAAAGAGTTGGACAGCTGATCTGTTCCCGCGTGAAAGATTATGAGGTCCCTCGAAAGTGAACCTTCTGAGGCACGAAATTGGGCCAGGAAACACTGGAGAAACTTACCAATCATTAGTTATACTTGCAAAACGATCAAGAGAATATGCCATCCAAAAAGTCCTCCTCATCTCTTCAGTCTTAATCCAGTCGCCATGACTGTGTATACTATTGGGCGTGTCAATCTTATAAAGTCGCATGAGTTGTACCAAGCGGAACGAACGCCCCGCACTCATCCAACCATGACAATAATTGAACCGCAAGAACTCATAGATAGCAATCAAGATCCATGCCTGCACTTGTTCAATCTCGACGGATCTAATGTCTGTGCATTTGTTTTCAAGTTCCTCTAGCATCTTTTTAGTATCTGAGTAAAGTGATTTCTCTAGGTGTTGGAACTGGGTCGATAGCGAGGCTCCTAACGTCCACATGGCGTGTTGAAGGCAAGTGTGAGATCTGCTTTTGTCTTTCGCCCGCGTCCATGCTGAGTAGCGTCGTTGCTGAAGAATCGGTGCAAACACGTGCACTCGATCAAAATAAAGTTGGTCCCTAGAGAACAAGAACATGTCAGTTGATGGTGTTAGAAGCCAGCATGGAAACTTATTTTTGGCACAATCAGATTGACTCTTCGAGCGCTGTGAAGGACTTACAAGTCTTCGCGCATTAAGCTCGACAGGCAGATCTCTGACGAGCTCGGATACGGCTCGAAAGCATCCAAGGGCATGTAAGTATCTTGAGTTTCAATATCCGCTAGAATTTTTGAAATATCTGTAGGGGATTGCTCTCTCGAGATACCGCCTAAAATCTGATCATCAGTCAATTCGAGAAATGAGTCGATGGATGATGTCCTCGCGTGTTTTTGGGTGAGCGAAATTTCTAGAGCAGCTGTTTGACATTTGCGACATTAGCTTCCGAGTTTTGACTGTAAGAACGAAGTCCATATACCAACTCGTGCTTGTAGAGCTTTGAGATGACCTCTCTGTGGACCTCTTGGCGAACGTATAGTTGTTATAGTACAAGCCATACCAGTATCGATACAAGTTGTACATTTTGGTTCACGACGATCACACCGCAATTTGCGCGCTCTACAAGTATCGCAGGCTAGTCCTGGAAGTTGTCGAGGTTGTTTCATGTTTGTTTGTGACATAATTTTCATGCGTCGATCCGAGTAGCGCCTTTTCATGTGTCTGAAAAAGAATGTGATATTTGTGGGCTAGATGGCCAATTTTCTTTTGATAAGTACAAAGGAATCCCAACGGCATTGCATATTACACCCATCAAATCTGGAACCATGTTCTTCGGAGTCTATGCTCAAGCTCTCGCCGATCATCTCTCTTCTCCAAACACCTGCTCTCGTCAAAAGTTGGAGACATTAGGTCGCAACGACCATTATTATTGGATAAAGCATTCATTGAGAACATTGTTGCGCGAGCCGGCATTGATCTGCACTGCCGTAAGGGCATTCAACGGAGCTATCTTATCTTCAGAATGACCCCTGGAGGTCGATGATACGATATCATTTTGTTGCTTGCATAGCAATTCAAGCCAATGAATATCAGGTCAGAAGCGTGGCAAGCGAGGGTTGTAATTGTCGGCCTTCTTTGCGGGAAGCTGACATTCTTTGCCAGGGGGTCAGCCATTATCAATGGCTGATATTTGACGTAGTACATGCCGCAAAGTTCCTACGCGGTGGCAGAATGCATATGAAGCGTCATTAGTGCTGACGGTTCACGAAAGCGGCGGCCCGAAGCGTGTACCGTGCCTATGAGATACCTTAACGAAATCCATTTATCGCCATTGTGCGTGGGCTCATGCATGTCTTACACGTATCTTCAAGCACTGCACTCACTGATGCAATGGGCTTGTTCCCGGCTACCTTGTCAGACACAGAGAGCCTTCTACGGTACAATAGGTGCCTATTGTCACATTCTTTAGACCTAAGTACTGATTATTTCCGAAGGATTCTCTTGGCGCTTGAGATTGTGCATATCAGAGTGACAAGACCAAGAAGAATATTCAACAAACAGGAATCGAATCGACGATGGGTCCAGCCTAGTATCTTACCTTTCGACTCCAGAAGCCGAGGTTCCAATTGGTGGTTATCGTCCGATTTGAGTTAGCTTATCTATCACTTCTACAATTACCATTAAGCCGTCCTTGTACAGTATTATATCCGTTCTCAGCCTTATGATTGTACTTTGGATGCACTCTGAAATCTACGGGCGTAAGCTTTCTAGTTGTGGACCACAACAGGGTTTTCGTAGCATACATGCAAGTCATGAAATCCACGGCATTTCCCCGAAAAAGAAGGTGACAGTGAACGCATCTACCAGTTTGTTGATCTCCGCTTGAAGCGTCAAGCCAAGAGCTGAGATCATCTAATTTTCACTTTTCTTTGTGTGCGATTCGCCTTATCCGAGTTTACGTTTTCTGACATAATCTTCTGGTGTCCCTGGGAGAGCTCAGCTACTGGTTTCCAACAAGTCAAGCCTCGGAAATTAAGAATTTACTCGTAGTCTATGTTGTGTCAAGATTTTAGTCTACACAACTGAACTTTTCTCGCGAGTAAGGAAACTGCACATTTGCTGCGGCACCCATTTTGGAAAGTAGTCAGAGTACGATCTGCCATTCATAATTCTATTGGAAAGCATTTAAGTTTTGATTGTCCAACAAGCATGACTGTTCATCTAAAACTTGCTACAGTTTTGTTCAAGAACGTCAAATTCATGGTAGGGTCTGGAACTTCACGAGGTATCAAGACCAGTTCAGACCGCCAATGCATCCTTTAGCACATTTTCACACACTTTCTGACGTTCTGTGGGGAATTATTCCACTCATAAAGACATCTTACAACTTATTTCCAATCTAGAGGTATAGGTAGATGGGCGCTAAAGAGCTCAGTTGGGTCCCATTTCAATTTTAGTGCCGAAAGCTTTGTCAGTTTTCGTGTGCCGTACCAAGCTTCTGGACCCTCATCTCCATGGGCGTAGTTAGAGTATACGGCAAGGGAATCAAAGCCACTTGTTTTGGCGAATTCCGCCCGCGCAGCTGTACTAAACTCGTTAACCGAATCGTCAATTCTTGTGTCTGTATAAAATCCTTCAATGTTCCTGTGGCAAGCAAGAGTCAGGATTATTCAAAACAGCCAAGGTCAAACTTCTCAAGTATTGAATACTGACATGTAGGTTTTGATGCCACGATATGCGTACGCCGTTTCCTCGTCCGGTACTGAATCAACAACTTCATTTGAATATCTCTGCAATAGCAGACGTCCTTGATAATCGGGGTTAGCTATCCAGAAGGCGGTCATGTTAGCGAAAAAGGATTGGAAGGTTGAAGGCGAGTAATGCTTCAGGCCAACAGTGTAGATGTTCAAATGTTGGTTTGGTGTGCATGCTCCATTGTCAAGACCAAAAAAACTGAAGAACGCGGCGTCAAAGAGTTTGTTTTGTTGGACGGTAAGGACTTGACTTCGAGTTGGGTTAAGGCCAAAGAATGGTTGCAAATGCTTCTCTCCTTCTTTCAAGGGTCCATAGTATATTGCGTTGACAGTAATTACGGGCTGAAATGAGTGTTAACCACAGTAATTAGGTTGGTGCAAGATTCAAACTCACCTCATTACTGGTTCTGTTGAAAATGGCAACAGCCGTGATAGCAAGTTGCGAAGGTAGAGTATCGTCAAAACTTTTCATGACTTCCCAGAAACTAGCGTTACTGCTTGCTGAAAACACGAAGTCCGCATTGACTGCCTCACCATTGTTTGTAATTTCATATATCCTGTAGGTTGCGGACACGATTATTCCGAAATTGCTACCGGCGCCTCTGACGGCCCAGAATAAATCCGAACTCTGATCAGCAGAGGCTTCTACAATCGTTCCGGCTGCGGTAACTATTCTGACTGACTGAAGGGCGTCCGAGAGAAGGCCGCGAACGCCGTGCAACGCTCCGATGCCCCCACCAATAGTAGCTCCAACTACTCCAACACACTTACAAGAGCCGAGAGCTAGAAAGATTAACGCAAATCGAAAGGAGAAATATGGAATTCTTACGCAGCTCTTTACCGGCATCATGTAGAACATCGATAAGCTGTGAAATTCTGGTTGACCCGCCGACGGTCACAGTGTTTTGATCCGCGTCCAGGTGTATTGTGTTAAATTTACTCAGATCGATAGAAATGCCATTGAAAGAACTAAAATCGGAAAATCCATGACCTCCTCCAGTGGTTAGAAACGGTATTGAATTTGTCGCAGAAATTTTAACCTGCACTATGTCAATATCACTCGTACTAATTATGATGAAGCTTTGAGTGCATGAAGAGACCTGGAGAGACAGTATGCTTACGATGTTTTGTATATCAGTCTCAGTAGCTGGCTTGATGGCTCCAACATATGATGGTGGAAGATAGTTAGTCCATCTTGGAGTCAATCTTTGTGTGAAATTGTCTGCCGATGGTAAGATGATTTCCGCGTTCAAGGATAAACTAGGCCCAAAAAGGGTCGTCAAGTTTTTGTTATTGAGTTCTGAATCGAACGTCGTTACTGACAGCACGTGCTGGAGCCACGCAGCAGCAAAGGCACGCATGTTGTTGAGTTACTGATTGCAATAAGAATCTTAGCTCAAGCGACAGTTTTCAGACTAGATATAATCTGGTCGAAAATCCGATATCCATAAGCTAAGGAACGTTTTCTGTTGTCTTAGGGTATGAAGTCGTCAGATACTCTCGAATGATCGTTGTTGGGGTCGAATGTATTGGGAACTTTTCTGACGTTTGACGATAAAGCCAAACGGTTTGTGCAAATCATTTTGTCGATGCGGCGAGTTACTCCGAGCCGACGACGCGTTGAGTAGAAGAAATGATTGTTCAAACACTTCCCTGCAGAACGATCATGCAACATCAAATATCCTCAGGGCTCATTGGCTGTCGAGCTTTGCGATGAGTGGGTGATACTCAAGTAGAATGGTTTACGAGAACTCTCCCGGCATGAAAATATACCACATCACCAGTGCAATGCAGTTTGACGGGACACCCCTCGATTTATCCAAGTTCAACAATACCCAGAATTTTAGACTCTCACACTCCTTCCCTAATAAAACGTCCATCCTAAGACGGAGAGACAATATGGTAAGCTACTCAAAAGCATTGCGCAAATAGAGCTTCTGGTTATGATTTGTCGACACCTTGCCAGAAGGAGGTATCACATCAGACTTGAAGCACACTGGTGTAGGATATAAAAACAGATATGGATTAAGAAGATAGATAGGAGCTCCGAATCATATATCTGACCAACAGCTCGGATGCTTCACAATTCTTGAACAGAATATCTTGTTATCGCAGCGCTCAAGGTTCGTTATAAGTCAATAAATAATAGGTTTCTATTATGCAAGTTGCGGTACATTCACAAATCATGCAGCGACGAGTTCAACAAGCTTTTGAGAGAAATTTTTGCTTTTGTTTTTGCTCAATTAAAGACACTCTTTCAAGTTTGTTTTATTTTTACTCGAGCTGATTCACCTCATTACGAAATTTTGGGCGAGTATCTACTTAACTGCCTGACCTTGCTCCCATACAAATAGAAGAGAATAGGAACCGGAGCGAATGCAAGCGCCATCAACCCGACAATGCTTGACGCCCACGAGATCTGCAAAAGAAAAGTAAGCATAATGATAAACGCCTCGAAGTTAAAAGACTTACTCCAAGGCGGCTATATAGGGGTATTGCTAACACTGGAAAAGAGCCTGCAATAAAGGAGCGCACTATAACCGTGCCAGCTATTGCAGAATTTGCATTACTTTTGTATATGTCGATTATATAAGCCAATGACTGTAACATGATGAGCTGAGTGCCGATTCCAGTTGGGATACCTGATAGTATCTGTGGCCATGGATTGATTGTTGGGGCTGATGTCCATGCAAACCAAAATAGCCCGATAGGAAGGAAAAAGGCGCCTACGATCATAGGAGGAAGTCGATCTTCTGGCTCCACTCTCCCGTTCTTTGCGAGTTTTACTTTAAGAGTCGTCATAGAATAATAAACAACGTAGACTGATCCAATAATTATGCCAACAATGATGGGAATGAATGGCAGAGATGCAGAAATATGACCGAAGTGTCTTTCTTGCTCGAAGCTTATTGGGTAGGCCTAAGCACAATAGTTAAAGTAGGGAGATAAGTAAATAGTCTAGGATTATACGCACCACGAAGAGCAGATAGATTGTTCCCAACGTGAACGAAATGTAAAGAGTCATGAACAATAAAATAGGTTCAAGACAGAGCATTAGAAACGGGCGACTGAGATAGATGACCACGAATTTCATGACGTCGACCGGTTCCTCCTCTGATTTCGAATGTAAAGCCCACTCTCCGGTTGTCAATCGAAGGCGCTTCGCTTTTCGAGTCAACACAACCGGGACATAGGTTTCGGGCAGCATCAAAAATCCGATAGACCCGAATATAAAACCTTGGATCATGGTCAACCAAACAATCCACCGCCATCCCAGGGAACTTTGAACGACTATTCCTCCCACTATTCCCCCAACCGATGGACCAATCAACGTGGTAGCAGAATAAATCGCGATGGCAACGCCAAGCTGGACTGGTGCAAAGAAGTCGGCAAGATAACCTCCAACAATTGCTGAAGATCCTGACGCTGCCACACCACCCACAAGTCGGAAAATCAGAACAGTGTAAGCACTTTGAGCGAGTCCAACTGGAATCTGAGAGAGAACAAAAGTAACATAGGCGATGAATAGAGGAGCCTTCCGTCCAAACAGTTCCGATGATGGTCCCATCAAAACTGGACCTGCAGCCAACCCGATTATAAACAAAGAGGTAGCCAATGCCATTGTCTCAACCGATACACCAAACTCCTCAGCGGTGACATTAACTGCAGCACTGAATACAGAACTTGAAAATGTCACCGTAAAGGTCATGAAACCGAGAACAAAAGCGCACAACCACTTCCGCCATGGTTCCATATTCATTGGATCCAAAGGGTCATTAGGACCGCTAAAGACTACGATGTAAGGGTCTTTGGGGTGATCATTGAGAAGAGGTTGCCGTTCTGTACTAGGAACTGCCCGATATTGAAGATCCGCCGGGACTTGGACATCATGCTCGTCCATGTTGTTGCAAAGATACGAAATGAGAAGATGAATCGATGGAAGTTGAGAAAATGACCTCTAGCTGCTTGGTAGCAATGAAGAGACCACTCTAATACTCAAGCTCATCAAATTAAACGAATAATAACTAACGAATGAGTCTTGAAGAACTCCATTCCGGGTAGGTCAAAATCGGGTCGTAAATGACCTGGTCTGGGTCGATAACGCGAGTTGAGTTACTCCGTTCCGTGAAGAAAATCACAATTGGCGACAAAGAATCCATTGGAGAGTTTTGTCGTCGAAGATGTGTAAGAAAATAAGCACATGGTACTCGACCAACAGGCCGTGACTAGCTTCACCGCCCCCCACTGCACGACTTAAGTAATGCAGGGTAAGGTACTGATTTAACCGGAGTTGAGCTGGATTCTAACTAATTCGGAGTCTCAGCTTGGAAAGATACCACCATGCTGATGTTGTCATTGTGATCATGGGTTTGCGATCTGCAGCTTGCATGCATGTGGTTCAAGTCTGGGGATGTAAGAGACTCCGCAAAATAAGACCGCCGGCAAGAGGCACAGAACGCTGCATGAGTGGCATTGAATTGATAAGAAAATGAGATAGTTCATTGGCATTGCATAGACGTGCTTTTCGGGCGGGATTGGTCTTTGCAGGATCATCATGACAAAGACAACCGGATTTCGGAGAAGGGTCTGTGTGAATTCCGGTTGTATCATCACCAACTCCACTGGATTTCGGGGGAGACTCAATCAAGCCCACCTGCTGAAAGCTTTAGTAATTTCGATGATTTGTCTCATAGCGGTTTTCGGAATTGGGCAAGCTCGAACTTGCCGGCGCGTCTTTCTATTGTCCAAAACGCGTATGTTTAAGAATTGATGACAGACGTCGACTTTTGGAGACCCAAACAATAGCATTGGACACCATTTTCGAGTCCAGAACAGTCGTGGAGTACTCATGATGGAATCAAAACCAACCATGAATACGGCAGAGTCTCAAACTGCCCGGCCAGCTGTGGAGCGCGCCGTCACCAAATATCCGCCTGATCAAGGGAACGAAGTTAAGAGCGAAAACAACGATGTTTCTGAAAGCAGTCAGAGTGATGAGAAGCCTGAGCCGATAATTGACGCAGAACCCACAGAAGAGTGGGTTCAAGGGTTTAAGCTATTTATGATCATCAGTGGTTTGATCTTCGGGACATTCTTGATGTTGCTGGATACATCCATTATCGCTACGGTAAGTTATTCGAAAGCAGGCTTTCATCACCATAAGATGTCTTGTGTTTTTACATCGAATTTAATCTAACCTGCCATTATTACAACAGGCCATCCCACGTATTACAACTGATTTTCATGCTTTGGAAGATGTCGGCTGGTATGGTGCCTCATATCAACTCGCCAGGTATGTTTCCCCTAATGATTTTGAATCACAAGTTTATTAGTTGGATTCTGACATTGGGATAGTGCTGCTCTTCAACCACTTACCGGCAAATTTTACACTCATTTTGGAGGCAAAGTACGTTGATGCCGCGGAGTTAGTTTAATGGATTACTTATTGACTGATTATTGCAGTGGACCTTCCTCGCCTTTTTCGCCGTCTTTGAGCTGGGTTCTCTGCTTTGCGGCGTGGCTAATTCGTCAAATATGCTGATTGCTGGGCGGGCAATTGCTGGAATGGGCGCATCTGGTATCCAAAACGGTGCCTTCACAATTGTTGCTCAAAGCGTTCCTTTACACAAAGGACCTCCACTGATGGGGCTGGTTTTGGGCATATCGCAACTCGGGTTGGTTATGGGCCCCTTGATCGGAGGCGCACTTACCGAATACACTACCTGGAGATGGTGTAAGTTAAACTCTCAGGTACACCGGATTTCCAAACTGACTTGAGAAAGGTTTCTACATCAATTTGCCAGTAGGTGCTGTTGTTGCAGTTTTACTCGTATTCGTCAAGCTCCCTGGAACGGTAAAAGTCCCCTCCTGGCGCACCGTCGTTACCGATCTCGACCTCCTAGGTTTCACTCTATTCGCGCCAGCTATGATCCAGTTATTGCTTGCCTTACAATATGGAGGCAATCGACATGCTTGGGATAGTGCAACGGTCATTGGATTGTTTTGTGGTGCTGCTGGAACTTTTGCCATATTTCTCTGGTGGGAATACCGAAAGGGAGACGAAGCTATGATTCCGTTTTCCATCATTGGTAAACGAGTCGTATACTCAGCATGTATTGCATTTGGACTTCTACTTAGCGCCACGTATGTTGCGTTGTATTACATTCCTATATTCTTTCAGAGCGTCAAAGGAACCTCGCCCACGATGAGCGGAGTATATCTCTTACCGAGTATTTTGCTTCAACTGTCTGGGGCTATTGTGGTCGGAGCGTTAGGTAAGTAATCATTCGTAGCCAGAAGATACGGAGAGACTGACAGTACTCCCAGTTCCAAAAGTTGGATACTTCACTCCCTTCGCCATTGTTGGTGGTGCTCTTTGCGCCATTGCCAGCGGCTTACTCTCAACATTCGATGTATCGATTTCGACCGGAAAATGGGTCGGCTACCAAATTCTTCTTGGGGCAGGTGAAGGCATGGCTTTACAGATGCCCGTGATTGCCGTTCAAAACTGCATAACACCAGCACAGATTCCTACTGCCATGGCGCTTGTCATGTTTAGCTCCACCCTCGGTGGCGCTCTTTTCTTATCCTTTTCGCAAACAGTATTAACTAACAGTCTTCGTTCATTAATTCCACAATATGCCCCTAATGTTAACGCCGAGGCAATAATTGCCGCCGGTGCTACTGGCTTCCGGCATATAGTTCCTAGCTCTGATTTGCCGGGCGTGTTGGTTGCATACTCAAAGTCCATTGATAGGGTATTCTATCTATGTGCTGGTGCAAGTGCCGGTGTGTTTTTTGCCTCTTTTGGAATGGGTTGGAAGAATATCAAGCCAAAGAAAGAAGTCGCAGAAGTGGACGTTTGAAATAGAGTGGAAAGTTGTCGGTCGTTTCCTCATTCGGGATCGTTCAGTAAACACGTGTGGAATAAAAGTGATCATAATAATAAATTTAATGGTTGGGCTCGTTCAAAATGATCTTAAACTGTGATATCAGTGAATTAAATTCATAAACAAAAGTAAATTTGTACTTTTCATAAGCGTCAGAACTATTTTGCTTGGCTTCTACCTTTGGTGGCCGCAAATTGTTGGTAACGAACGAATAACTCAATAATCGACTAGGGTTTAATGGCTGCTCAGTTTGCCGGGTACGACCACACATGTAGTACATCTAGCTCTCTTCAAAGCCAAATGCAGGTCTAAATCATGCTTTGCGTTGCTGCAATTTATCTGCTAACCGTGAAAGAATGCTATTTGATTTTGATGCCACAACCACCACTGAACATCAGAGTTACGTATTTGCATATTGAACCCTTATTTTGAAATACGCTGATGAAAAGCAGGTAATTGCGTGATGCGTCGTGCACTACTGACCAAACAAGAAGATGTGATAGAAAGTAAACGGAGTTCCCTCGATTTTACAATAAACGTTAAGGATGAAGCATCTCGTTTATTTGAAGGCCTACTACTATATAGATTAAACAACCCCATCATACCCAAACTTAGCAATAAACTCCGGCTTCAAGTTCTTCAAATCACGCGCCCAACAAGTCGCAAAAATATCCTTAAACCAACCCTTAAGATGACTACTGAGACCCATATCTCTCAACAAAGTGTCTGTGTATCCAATCAACTCAAATATCATAGTGTTTCCCCTCTGCCCTTTACTGAGATAGCGACGACGATTCCACGCCGTGAAAAGAGCAATCTCTTTTTCTTGCTCCTCTGCGCTTGGTAACTCTAGTTTTCCATCAAAATAGGCTGTTGCCCACATTGATTGACATTCCACTGCACGGAAATAGTTTCCGACACCGACATGCCCAATAAAAACGATTGATCGATCTCCTTCAGCTACTGTGGATTCACACAGTGGAACAATGTTTCTATAAAGTCTATAGGCCGTTTGGCAAGCGCTTTTCTCGTAGTGAGATGGAGGATCTGCAAGCTGAGGAAACGTGTTGAGAACCTTTTTATCAGCTTCAGCCTCAAGTTCTGACCAGTGCTTTTTCTCCTCGGGATTCCCCTGGATTGCTTCATACGGCAAACCAAGCTCTCTGCACTGGTTTTCGGAAAAGAATAAGTGCGATGCAACCCAGCCCGTACCACATAAAAGCGCATCAGAGGATACTTCGTCGCCTGTGTTGAGCAAAACGCGATGATTCCCAAGACTAGTGACCTTGCCAGTATAGAATGTCACATTCTCCGCAATGGTGTCGAAAAAGTCTTCGTGATTGAGCAGCCCGCCTGTGCAGTTCTGCCAGAAAATACTACATTAATTCATTAGCTAGAAGAATCGTGTGACATAGAACTTGTCATGGGTAATATCTACGGTGAATGTGGTGCTAATTGTTCAAAGCCTTTGGACAATTTGCGATCGAATTTGGCTTCTTTCCGAGCTTCGATATCAATCGTGTTCCAGAACGTACCCATCATGCGAACGCCAAACTTAGACGAATGTAGAAAAGAAGTCCATCCGTTGATTCCATTCATAAAAGAAGGACTGAAACTTCCCGCTAGTCTAGTCATACCCACTTCAAATGCATTTTCGTATGGCCCTTTTCCTTTTGGGGAAAGAAAGAAACCCGGGCCAGTTGTATCCGTATCTTTAAGGATCCAAGTCACATTCTTGCCACTCTTGACGGCTTCATATGCCATATCAGCAGAGGACTTGCCGGCTCCCAGAATTGTGACATTTTGTACGTCTGGCGAGGTAAGGATCTTGGATGAACCGAAATTGTCATGATGGAGGATCCGAGCGGAAAAGTTTTCTCTTCCAGGCAGTAAAGGTAGATTAGGAATAGAGGTCAGGCCACTGTCAACAATCAATTTCGACGCCCTGAAAATATGCTGAGATCCCGTTTGACGCTGTGTTGCTGTTATGTTCCACATTCCATCCCGCTTCAAAACCGACTTAACTTCCACCGAAAGTTTAATTCTATCTCGTAGGCTTCGATTTGCATAACTGTGACTATCAACATAAGTTTCGAGGTACTTAGTTGTATGCTTTGCTCTAAAAAATTCATAGTAGAGATCTTCATCTGGTGGTCGTGCCATAGGCTGGTCTGAAAACTCGGCTGTCCCAACAGTCCATTGTGTCCAAAAGCTGTCATATCCTCTTCCTGTGGATATTACAATTTAATCAGAGACTCTGAAAGTTTTAATCAAAATAGAGTTTGACTTACTTGAGTTCCAGGTGCCTCCAACACAGGTATCTCTCTCTAGGATGACTAGACGTGAGTCGGGGTGGATATCTAGGTAAAACTTTGCTGCTGCTATTCCCGATATTCCTATTTGCGTTGCTCGTCAAAACAGAGAATTATGACAAGATTGTAGTAAAATTTACCTGCCCCGATGACGAGAACCTTTAGTTCAATGGTATCAGCCATAATCACGTTCTACAGAACGCAAATAAACAGGTCGCGAAATCGATGCACAGAATCCTTCAGCTGGCTATGACGAAAAAGCTGTGCGTAGATCAAAATTAAATGCTAAGCTATTATTATTATTAAGAGATAGCTGATCATGTAGATGCCTGTACTTTCAACAAAAATCTGAGCGATCAAGACACAGGAAAGGGTGTCACGTTGTATGCTGTGTGCGAGTTGGTGCGCTGTTAAGAAGAGACGGGTCTTGAAAGAGTCCATTTTCGACGTTGGACTGCGAGAGTATTCGGAGGATCGGACGTCCCAACAACAAGTAATTTATCCGGTGAGAGGCAATGCTCTGATAGGGCAGGAAAGCAACTCGAAGAAAAACAAACCAACATGTCGCGTAGGTCATTCAATGGCTGCCCCACTGCTGGGGTGGCTATTGCCCCCAGTACCAACAAAGATAGTTTGTTTTCCCCAGCTGAGATGCATCCAATGGAGCCATATATGGGGACATGATCTACTTCTGCCAAGATCTTCTCGTTGCTGCGGTTTGTTGGAAGCCAATGCCAGACATTGAATTGTTATGTTCCAGTTACCTAATGGAGAAATACACGCAATTCCGGGCATTAATCTTTCCAGTGTCTTGTTGTCTTTTGCTGCGCAAGGTACTTCCATTATCCTATTGAGATTATCGTGTAACCTATCATGGTGCCCTAAAGAACACCAGACCAGCACTCAGCGAATTCCGCGTAAAAGTTTGGTGTGGACCGTCGGTAGTATCGGAAAATGCTTTGCCGGACGCCAACGCACATCATGAAGTCTCATCCCAACCCAGAAGTTCAACGGGAGTAATACTGTACATTCTGTGAGAGTCAGAACTGAAGGTTATTAATGAAGTACGGGTGTAAGAGCTTAGGCTTTTGGGTCCTTGATTGGGCTGTAGCATCAATAAAACCAGAGTAGATCGTAAAACATGTGGTTCAAATTGCCAAGTGTTGCGAATATGGTGCCGAAGATCTCGGCCTGATATGTGGCAACAAGATAAAGGGTTGCTTGCATTGCATATGTGCTTGTTAAACAATGCTTATTGATCAACTGCTAATAGTAAGAAGGAACGAATAAGTTTAAAGCAAGAATATTGCAAGGTGATGAAATAAATCCTTCCTAGAAGAAATAGTATAAACTCAAGCCAAGCTGATCACAATCTTCTTAGCACTCACACCCTTCTTGAGGATATCTAAACCTTTTTGAATATCACTCAGCCCATGGCCAACAACGTCTGCATCTGGCTTCGCCAGAAAGGTCCCGTCAGCCAACGCCTTCGTCAAGAAGTTCTCATAAATAGCCGGTCCAACTTCGTTTTCTCTCAAGGAAGTGCCAAAGACAAATTTGAATCCTATATCATCTGGGGGAGGGCTGCCTATATTTGGATTGGCGGAAGCGACAAATTTAGTACCGTTCAACTTCGAGATAATTTCAATGACTGGAGTCGGGGATCCGTTACCGACAGCAAAACCACCGGCCATGGTTTTATCTTTGAGGGCTGAGATGAGATCAAACACTATAGTGGGACTGTTGTAGTCGAAGGCGAGAGTGGCGCCAATGGATTTTACAAAGTCATTGTTTTTTGGTGAACAGGTGGTAACGACTTCATAGCCAGCCGCGGTGGCAAGTTGAATGGCATTGCTGCCAACTCCCGATGCACCACTCCAAACGAGAAGCGTCTTGCCTGTTGGAGGCTTCGGTGGTGACGAAGGAAATTGAAGCGCTAGGGTATCTTTTTGAAAAAGGGCGCAAGCGGCTGTAGAAACGCACAGTGGAATGACAGAGGCACTTTCGTATGATAAGGAGTCAGGAATCCGAGAAGCCATATGTGAATCCACTACGACATAATTTTGGAACGCGCCTTGTGATGGATCATTGTTCGTTGTCTCATCTGCATGGGCTACAACTCTGTCACCAAGCTTGAGTCGTGTAACGCTACTTCCAACTTTCTCGACAGTTCCAGAGACATCCGAGCCGAAAATAGCTGGGTATTTGGTCCAACCAAAGAGTGAAGCACCCAGGTCTTGCCTTGACCAGTCGACCAAATTGAGAGCCACAGCAAGGTTTTTGATGACAATCTGGTTCGCAGCTGGCTGAACGTAAGGCGCGGGTTTAAGCTCTAGCGGATTAGCCTTTTCGGCGGTTATCCATGCTGCCGTATTTGAAGGAGGCATTGTGTACTCTCGAGAGTTCTTGAGCCGGCGAGGGAGTTGTAGACTTGGGAATTTGGCGTACCGAAAAGTCTCAGGCGAAAAAGTGTACCGATGAATGTCATGCAAAGAGAGGCTACTTCTTGGTTTTAATGTCAGTATCAGCTTGTGGACTTATAAAACCAGCTATCGAGTTTATTGATATTCAGACTGAACTTATGCTAGGATGTCCAGTAGCCACACTCGCTCAGTCACCTGCCCACTAATCTCTGGACTCAAGAAGTCGACTTCGAATAGAGCTTAGAAAAGCTTTACTTACTTGAAATGATTGACACAATGTGATAGTGTGCCAAGTTGATTCAATAAACATACGATTTCGCCAATCGTTTTAAGTAAATATCGTGTTCGGATTGAATTTATTTTCCGGGAGCGACATTGCGAAGCGGCTAAATCCGACTTGATATTCCGGCTCGAAACTCCGAATAATAACTCCGCATCTCTAGCTTGGGCAGAGTGAAACGCACAGCGACTGCGAGCTTGTGAGATGCTGACTAAGAATCCTGCTATTAACTGTTCCTAAGCCCCTAGACCGAGGGATCTAGAGCATACTTCTGAAAGCTTGTAACTCATATATTATTCGAATCACGTTACACAGCAACAGCACTACTTGCGTGTGACTTTCAGTAACTTCAACCTTCGCAGCCAGTGTGGAACGCATTTCAACAATGGCTAACAATTATCCGTATGCAAAGGGAACGAACAGAATTCTGATGTTCGGTCCCCAAGCACTATCTTTCGACACTGAAGATTTGAAGCAACTTAGGTCGACAATCACAAGCGAGCAAGAGAATTCATGGATTCTCAATGTGATCACAGAACTCTCTGTGTATTGGGAGAAATTTGAATTTAATTTTCCAAAACTGAGAGTCGTTCCGGGATGGAAGTCGTTGAAAGACTTGGACGATGCCTTGAGGACTGGTGACTTCACCCATTTACCCACAAGTTTGCCAAACATCTTACTTAGCCCCTTGGTGGTGCTTACTCAATTGATACAGTATACGAAGTATCTGAAAATCAAAAATTGCGAGGAAGTACAACAAGATATTTATACCATTGATAATCCGAACGCAGAGACAATTGGTTATTGTATGGGGATGTTGACCGCCATGACGATCTCCAGTACTACTGGAGTTACCGAGTTTCAGAGATACGGTGCAGTAGCAATGCGCTTAGCAGTCTTAATATCCGGCTTGGTTGACGCGCAAGAAATTTCAAATGAGCAAAAGGGATCTAGGGCACTCGCCACAGTTTGGACTTCGCAAGAATCAAAGATGGAGTTGGAAAAGATATTGCAGGACTTTCCAGAGGTATAGCCAGCCTGAGGTTCCAACTAGGAGTGCGATGGAGTTAATGTGCGTATAGGCATACATCTCAGTGCTACACGACGAGAATCGCGCAACGGTAACATCTGCTACGAACAAGATAGCTGCATTGCAGCAACGAATCAGAGCAGCTGGCATCATTGCAACAGAAATCAGCCTTGAAGGACGTTTCCATTGTCCATGCTACAACGATGACATTGATGCTCTCACTGACTTCTGCGATGCTGATCCTGGGCTGCACTTTGTGGAAGTGTCGAAACTAGCAATACCAATGTGGTCAAATTCGGGAGACTTGATTTCGCGAGGAAAACTTCACCACGTAGCATTGAAGTCAATCTTAGTGGAGCAGTCGACTTGGTATTCGGCGTTTGGTGCTGTCAATTCATCGCGGCTGGGCGAAAAGGACTCTGTTGTAGTCTGCTTTGGTTCTGAGAAATGTGTTCCCCCCTCACTGTTGCGTACCATTGGTTCGCAGATAGTCTATATGAACAACATCGACGAGAAAGACTACGCTCGGTTGACCAATAATACAAGGGGGCACAAAATACATCCTAAGATCCATCCAGCATGCCTTGAGAATGATATAGCTGTGGTGGGTATGTCAGTCAAAGTTGCTGGCGCAGACGACTTGGAAGAATTTTGGAAGATATTGTGTGAAGGGAAGTCTCAGCACGTTGAGGTTCCTAAAGAACGATTCGGATTTGAGACTCAATGGCGGGATGTCGACCCTAAAAGGAAGTGGTTTGGTAATTTTGTCAGAGACCACGACGCATTCGACCACAAGTTCTTCAAGAAGACGCCACGAGAAGCGATTTCGCTAGATCCGCAGCAAAGACTAATCTTACAAGCTGCTTACCAAGCAGTAGAGCAGTCGGGTTATTTCAACAAAAAGAATGTCGACACCCATGTCGGATGTTATCTTGGGGTATGTAGTGTTGATTATGAGAACAACATTGCCTGCCATCCAGCAAATGCGTTTTCAGCAACAGGCACTTTGAGAAGCTTTATCGCCGGAAAAGTCAGTCACTATTTCGGTTGGACTGGACCAGGATTGACTATTGATACAGCTTGTTCCGCATCCGCGGTTGCTATCCATCAGGTAAGACGAGTCACGTGATCTTTCGAATTGGACATACTAATAGGTGAAATAGGCTTGTCGAGCGATTTTAAGCGGCGAATGTACATCGGCACTTGCTGGAGGCACCATGATAATGACTAGTCCTCTGCTCTTTCAAAATTTAGCAGGTGCTAGCTTTCTCAGTCCAACAGGAGCATGCAAGCCATTCGATGCCAAAGCCGACGGATATTGTCGTGGAGAAGGTATTGCGACGGTCTTTCTGAAGAAAATGTCCCAAGCTATTGCCGACGGAGACATCATCCATGGTTGTATTGCTGCTACCGCAGTCCAACAGAACGAAAATTGCACGCCAATTTTTGTTCCAAACGCGCCCTCCCTTTCAAAGCTATTCCAAAACGTAACCGACAAGGCTGGGCTCAAGCCACAGCAGATTTCTTTGATCGAAGCGCATGGAACCGGCACCGTCGTGGGCGACCCTGCGGAGTATGAGAGTATCAAGAGGGTTTTCGGAGGTCCATCGACGCGCTCCCAGGCGTTGCCTATCGGTTCAGTGAAGGGTCTTATAGGACATACGGAATCTGTCTCGGGCGTCATCGCGCTCATCAAGATCCTCCTTATGATTCAAGAGGCTGTAATCCCTCCACAGGCTAGTTTTGAGTCTTTGAATCCGCATATCAAAGCATTGCCATCGGATATGATGGAAGTTGTGACAAGACTGAAGCCATGGAACGCTGACTTCCGAGCTGCTCTTATAAATAACTACGGAGCATCCGGTTCAAATGCCTCGCTTGTGGTTACTCAGCCACGAAAGCACGAAGCAGCGGGTGCGTCGTCAATCCAAACCGCTAAGATGAAACATCCCATTTGGCTGGCGGGACTTGATGAGAGAAGTCTGAGAGAATATGCAGGTAGGCTTCGACGGTTCATTCGCGCAAAGGTCGTTTCTGCCAAACACATTACTTTGGCTAATGTAGTCTTCAATATTTCCCGGCAATCTAACCGTTCCTTGAACAAGAGCTTGATCTTTAGTTGCAGCTCACTCGAAGAGTTGGAAGAGCATTTGTCGGCAGCCTCCGATGCACAGAGCAAAGTCGCCATAATCACCAAAAAACCAGCGCGACCAGTGATTCTCTGCTTGTGAGTACAGTTTTAAATGTGCCAAAAGATCAGGCTAACTTAAACCAAGTGGTGGGCAGATCTCAACATTCATCGGCTTAGACCAGAATGTGTACGACAACGTAGCCATTTTGCGAAAGCATCTGGATACCTGTAATTCGATATTGATGAAAAATGGCCGTAAATCGTTATACCCAGACATTTTTCTGCGAGAACCGACTCAAGATACAGTCAAGCTCCAAACAATGCTGTTTGCACTTCAGTATTCCATCGCAAAGACCTGGCTAGATTGCGGTGTTGAGGTAGCAGCTATCGTTGGACACAGTTTTGGAGAGCTGACCGGTTTGTGTATCTCCGGTATGCTTTCATTGGAGAGTACAATCAAGGCGGTTGCGGCTCGAGCGAAATTGGTAAAGGAGTTGTGGGGCACCGACAGTGGATCAATGATGGCTGTGGAGGCTGATTTCGACGACGTCCAAAAGCTTCTGGCCGAAGAAGCAAATAAGAGTGAGATGGTGCATCCAGCAACGATTGCATGCTTCAATGGACCACGAAGTTTTACGCTGGCCGGCTCGACTAAAGTTATCGGATCATTGCTAGACGTCGTGGCAACAAAATCAACTTACTCCTTGATGAAAAGCAAGAAGCTCAACGTGACAAATGCCTTCCACTCTAGTCTAGTGGATCCGCTCGTCGCTGGATTGGAGAATCTGGGACGCGGACTGAACTTTGGTGACGCGAGGATCCGATTTGAGAGGGCTACCGAGTTCGAGTCAGACAGACCATCTTCCACATTCTTCGCAGAACACATGAGAAAGCCCGTCTATTTCAATAACGCCATACAGAGACTTTCGAAGGCTCACCCATCCGCCATTTGGCTTGAAGCAGGATCGAATTCGACTATCACAATGATTGCTAGCCGGGCTCTTGGTTCGCCAATTCACTCTCACTTCCAGCCGGTCAATATTACCAGTGACAAAGGCTTGCAGAATCTCGCCGAGATGAACGTCGCCCTCTGGAAGGAAGGATCGGATGCGCAATTCTGGCCGCATCATAACTCGCAGACTTATGAGTATTCTCCATTAATACTACCGCCATACCAATTTGAAAAATCGAGACACTGGCTTGATCTCAAAAAGCCATTAGCAGCAGTAGCCGAACCAGTAGTTCAACCAGAAAAGCAAGATCAAGATATTCCGACCGGTCTCTATTCTTTTGTTGGTTACCAGGACAGCAAACAGCGGTCAGCAAGATTCAGAATCAATACAATGATCAAGCAGTACGAGCAACTTGTGTCAGGTCACCTACTTGCCGAGACTGCTCCGATCTGCCCAGCAACCGTAGAAGTTGACATGGCTATTGAAGCAATTCTCAGCCTCCATCCGACTTTCTTGGAAGCAAAATTCCAAATTCAAATAAAAAATGTTGACAACAAAGCGCCAATTTGCGTGGATCCCTCGCGAAGCGTCTGGCTTGACGTTGTAGCGCTTGACTCGAAGTACCACAAATGGGACTGGGAGATCACGAGCACAGGTACAAAAAGCGCGGGAAGTACAGAACATGTCTCGGGACATATTCTGTTCACGGCTGGAAACGACCCAGAAATTATCGCAGACTTTGCAAAGTATGAACGTCTTTTTGAGCACCAGCGATGCTTGAATGTTCTCGAGGACGCAGACGCAGATGATATAATACAGGGTCGAAACATCTACAAGACGTTCGCACCAGTCGTAGACTACGGAGATCAATATCGTGGTCTCCAGAAATTGGTCGGCCGGGGTAACATGTCCGCTGGCCGAGTGCTGAAGAAATATTCTGGCGAGACATGGCTAGACGCATACCTGTCGGACTGTTTCTGCCAGGTCGGCGGCATATGGGTCAATTGCATGACCAATTTATCTTCCAAGGATATGTACATTGCAAACAAGATTGAACACTGGATTCGGGCGCCGAAGCTTGGGGTCCAAGATTTGAGGCCGGAGGTATGGGATGTGTTTGCCTACCATCACCAGCCGTCAGACAAAGCTTTCGTGACCGACATCTTTGTCTTTGATTCGACGAATGGTGCTCTCATGGAGATAATTCTCGGTATCAATTACGCGAAAGTCAGCAAGCAGTCGATGAGTAAAATGCTTCGTAGACTTAGTCCGGGAATCGTTTCATCACAACAAGCAATCACAACAATCCACACCACTGCAGGTGACGGTTTGGCTGCGTCGCCAAAGTCCGTTCCCAAAAAGATGTCCGAGTCTCCTAAGAAGGCTAAGACTAAGAAGCAGGCAACAAAGACCCAGGTTCCTAACATTTCTAACGATATCCGAGCAATGCTCGCGGAGCTAGTTGGCCTGGAGGCAGGAGACATCGAGAAGGATACCAATCTACCTGACATCGGAATCGACTCGCTCATGGGCATGGAATTGGCTCATGAAATTGAAGGAAGATTTAAATGCTTGTTACCTGCAGAAGACCTAGTCGAGGTAACAACAATGCAAGATTTGGTGAAGTGCGTTTTAGGCGCATTAGCCTCCACGCAAAACGACGAGAATGCCAAATCTAGTGCCGAGGACGAGATAGATGAAAGTGAAGACTCAAGTAGCGACAACAGCGATGGCGAGTCAACCCGGGAGCAAAGTATAGATACCCCATCGGAAGCCACCACTTTCTCGGTTCAGGGAAAAGTAGATCTTGTCGGATATTTGGCAGAATTTCTTGGGCTAGACAAGAACGAAGTAGATTACAACACGGTGCTTAGAGACCTTGGCGTTGACTCATTACTCTCTACAGAGCTCCGGGCTGACATAGCGGCCAACTTTCAACTTGTGATTCCAGAGGAAACCGAGATTGAAGAGTTAACTCCAAGGGACCTAGAGGGTATGGTGAATGGAGGTGGGCCTGAAGCGGCAGAAATTGGCAGCCTGTCTTCAAAAGAGAAACACAAGGCAGGGAAAAAGACCACTCAAGAGAGCGCCATCGTCGAAGCGGGCAACGGAAGCGGACTTGAAATTCCACCAGCGACAATCTTAGCAGCATTTGAAGAAACAAAGAAGCTCACGGACCAATTCATCGCGAAAGCCAATTTCGTCGATTATCTGGACATTGTCAATCCTAAGCAGACTCAGATGTGTGTTGCTCTCATAGTTGAGGCATTCGAACAGCTCGGTTGTTCCTTGCGCGACGTAGAAGCAGGCCAAAACATCCCACGGGTTGAGCACATACCACAGCATGGTCGCCTGGTCGAATACCTCTACATGGTACTGGAGAAGGAGGCTCGGTTGCTTGATATCGAAAACGGGCAAATAACGCGCACTGCGCTCCCCATTGCCTCCAAATCTAGCAAGGAGCTTTTGGAAACTCTGTTGAACACGCACCAAGAGCATATTGTCGCCAACAAATTAGCATACTTTACTGGTACCAAGCTAGCAGACGTGTTGACGGGAAAGACTGACGGCGTGAAAGTCATATTCGGGGACGCCGAAGGGAGAGAGCTTGTGACCGGGCTTTACGGTGATTGGCCTCTCAACAAAACGTACTACGAGCAGATGGGAGAGTTTATCAAACAACTAGCGTCAAAATTGCCTTCAGACGCAGGTCCGCTGAAGATTCTAGAGATGGGTGCAGGAACCGGAGGAACGACCAAAGTGTTGATACCGATATTGGGTAAGCTCGATATTCCGATCGAATACACCTTCACAGATCTTTCGATGTCATTCGTCGCCGCCGCGCGCAAGAAGTTCAAGCAGTATCCATTCATGAAATTTCGGAGCCATGATATTGAGCAGGCTCCAGCGGACGACTTGCTCGGGACTCAGCATATCATTATTGCCAGCAACGCCGTGCATGCCACACACAGCCTGACACAATCAACAAAGAACATCCATAAAGCATTACGACCGGATGGGTTTCTGATGATGCTTGAAATGACCTCGACTGTAGTCTGGATCGATATCATCTTTGGGCTCTTGGAGGGATGGTGGCTCTTTGATGACGGCAGACGGCACGCAATCGCACATCAATCTCGGTGGGAACATGATCTGCAATCAGTAGGGTTTGGACATGTCGATTGGACAGACGGCAATAATCGCGAAGTCAATATCGAGCGTATCATCATTGCGCTCGCTTCCGGGCAGAGGTACGCTCGCTCAGATGTAACCCCAGTCGCTACTAAGATTCGAGAGACTGACTTCACGGCTCGCCAAGCAGTTATTGACCGCTATGTAAAAACGAATGTTTCCGGCTTCAAGATGGCTAGTATATCTGCCCAGGCCGTCCAGTCTACTGCGAAACATCGATGCGTTCTGATAACCGGAGCTACAGGGAGCCTAGGTTCACATTGTGTGGCGTATTTCGCGAATTTGGAAGGTGTGACAAAGGTCGTGTGTGTAAATCGTCAGAGTAGTGGTATTACCCCCGAAGCACGACAACTTCGAGCCCTCGAGTCTCGAGGTATTCATCTGAGCAGCACCGAGCTTGCAAAGTTGAGCGTTTTCGGGACCGACTGTACCAAACCCTATCTTGGATTGCCCAATGATGTGTACGAAGAGCTTACAGGTAGCGTAACGCACATTCTCCACAACGCATGGCCGATGAGTGCTAGGCGGCCGGTTGAAGGCTTTATGTCCCAGTTCCGCGTCATGCGCAACTTGGTGGATTTTGCTGCTGAGAGCTCAGGCAAAAACTTGTCCAAAATAAGCTTTCAGTTTGTCTCTTCTATTGCGACCGTAGGTCGCTATCCCATTTGGAAAAGTACTGTCAATGTCCCAGAGGAAAGGATGACCGTCGAGGCTGTCTTGCCGAATGGATATGGAGATGCGAAATTCGTTTGTGAACGAATACTCGATGAGACTCTGCACAAGCATGACGACCATTTTCGAGCTATGGTTGTACGCCCCGGTCAGTTATTCCTGCAGTATTATATTCTACAGCTATGCGTTGGAACTAACCCGCCTTCGTAGGTCAAATCGCAGGTTCCATGGAGAGCGGATACTGGAATCATCAGGAGCATCTGCCATTTATTCTCAAATCCGCCCAGGTCCTAAAGGCATTTCCTGACTTCACAGGGTTAATGTCTTGGACACCTGTCGACCATGTGGCCGCTACGCTTGGTGAGCTTTTGCTCGCGGATAACGACCCGTATCCATTCTATCACATCGATAACCCGGTACGACAGCCATGGAAGGATATGATCCCAGTATTGACAGACGCGCTCAATATTCCACACACTAATGTGCTCTCTCCGGAGGACTGGTTTCTGCGCGTTCGAACGTTTACAGGATCTGAGCTGGAAAACCCTGCCATGAAGCTGATTGAGTTTCTAGATGATAACTTTATACGTATGAGCTGTGGCGGTTTGCTGCTGAATACAACAAATTGCCGGGAGCATTCCAACACACTAGCTGCTGTTGGGCCAGTTGCCGCTGCTATCGCAAGGAAGTATATCGCGGCGTGGAAATCGGTGGGGTTTCTGCGCTGAAAAATTCAATTAGTATACACAACTTTGCTCTAGACAGACATAATGTTTAGACTTACTGCAATAGTCGACTGTTGCCAGTGAATTCTTGTGACACTAGTCTAAGTAAAAAATCATCCGCATAGATTTTACTGCGGCAGGTTGACAGATTCCGATGCCACAAAAGAAGGGGAGCAGATCAACAGGAACAATTAAAACTGTCGTAGTCTTAAGGTATAGGTGGTATATATGGCTCTACTTGATAGTTGTAAAATGAGAATATTTTGGATTGTTGATGTCCCGGACCCGGCAGAAGTATTTTCCGATCAGCTTGGCACGTGATACACTGAAGTCCCCGCTCAGCACGGGAGCGTCCGCTCTTTCCATCTAGCCTAATTAGGCCGAATGCCGGCGGAGTTCAACGTTGGACCTTTCCCTGGAGATTGAGGATAAAGGTTTACGATCACATCATCACAACAACAGCCGACAATTGCTTTATATTCCCAAATGTCCTTTTACGCGTTCTGAATCTCTGTATGTTACATTAATCATGGATTATACAGCCACTGGCTCGACTTATGGGAGGGCGTGCATAAATTGTGCTCGTAACAAAAGCAAATGTGTAGTTCAAGATGTACTAGGAGCTAAATGTGAGAGGTTAGTGTCAGGTTGATTTCCACAAACATTCATATCCTGAAAAGCTGCTTACCAATGATTAGATGTCATCGTCTAAGCAAAGAATGCCGTCCTGCACCGACAACTCGACGTCGAAATTATAGAAAGCCTATTGCCTCCAAGACCACCCAATTGGAGGAGAAAATTGATGGATTAATGTCAATATTTAATTCACAGCCAGCTTTAAGTAGTTTTGGAGATAGCCAGACCAATATCATTTTCCCGAATCAGGATTCTCGCAACGGTTTACCATCATATGGTACAAGTTCACCTCCATCCACAAGAAGCGGCAGCATTGCGTTTACAAAAGTTGCAGGTCAAGCGTTGACCCCCGGAACAAGCAGTTTTACCTCTAATGCAAACTCGCCCGCAGACGTTTTTGCTTTTTCTCATGAGCCAACTTCATTGGAGGCCGAAGAGTATTTGAATGTCTTTCGTTCCCAACAATTGAAGTACTTTCCCTTCGTTCATATTCCGTATGAGACCAGCGCGGATCAGCTCCAACAAAAATACCCTTTCCTCTGGCTCTGTATCATGTCGATCTCGTCCAAAAGTGTTCTCCAGCAGCAGGCACTGAGTAGACAGATTAAAACCACAGTCGCACAGCGGTTGCTGCATGAGTCAGAATGCAGTATTGATATTCTTCTTGGGCTTTTGGCCTTCATTGGCTGGTAAGAATCCCTCAAATTATCGGTCAATTGGATTCATGATGCTGAGTTATCTTTAGGTCAAACCTGCAAGTGCACAGCAAGGTCAACTTATCGCTTTATGCACAATTAGCGGAAACCATGATTTTCGACCTTAGTCTCAACAAACCAAAACCGAAGAGCGACCAATTGGTTCTTTGTACATCTTCTCAAACTTATTACAAACCTCTGCCACGAAGTATGGAAGAACGACGCGCTGTACTGGGGTGCTTTCTCATAACGTCTATGTATGACTCTAATTTCTTCGTGTTCAATGCTTCAAGTTCTACTACTGATTAACATGTAGTATCTCATCATTTGTCCAGAAAATTGACGCCCTTCGCTGGAATCCGCACATGGACGAGTGCCTCCAGGTTTTAAGTGCGCAGCCAGAATGCGCAAACGACGAGACATTGGTAAAGCTGGTTCAATTACAACTAGTCGTAGAAAAAGTGGGTTACTGGCAGGAAGAGATGGAAAACGACATTGAGCATTCAAAAATGCCACCAACTTTTTTCATCGCATCACTAACATCACAGCTTGAAGAAATTGGAGCGAAAACTTCCTTTCCGCCTCATGCAAGTGGTAAGTTTTGTCTACCCTCACCTGTCTCCGGTCTACTAACAGGAATTAAGAGCTACTGGCAGCTCATTTTCACAGCACAAGCCTGGCCATTAACGAAACAGCCATGCTCCCACTACCGGTCACATCAATCAATTCAAATTCCGGCCACATAGAACGTCTATACGCATGTCTTAATTCAGTCAAATCCTGGTTCGATGTCTTTTTCACTATACCGCCTAGTGACTACATCGGGTTTCCTTATTCGATTTTCTCTCAACTTTCACACTCTCTAATCACATTGTACAGACTTTCGTCCCTCAATGATCCCTTCTGGCCTAAGACAGAAGTGCGAAAGACAGCCAATGTACTGTTAATCTTGGATACGGTGATAGAAAATCTTAGTCAGGTGGCTTCACTGGCTGGGCTGAACAGTAAAGATGCCGGCGACGATGTTTTCACCAAAACCTCTAGGAGGTTCAGATCCGTCAGAGTTGGATGGGAGGCAAGACTGGATGCGGATATTATGATGGCTGCTGCAACCCTCACCTCAAATTCTGACGGCGCCCTCCCATACGATCTATCAATGGATTTTCCCGAAGATGAGTGGCCAGCAGACGACTGGCTCACAGACATACTCACGTCTATGAGGACGTGACATGTTCCATAGTTCTGTAAATCAACTATCTTTCCAACGAAGAATAGCTCCTACTACAAGTGGATCTTCGTGTCATTGCCGGACACCTGTGTTGGTAAACGGTGTGCTTACTCAAGAGTTCATCCCATGCTAGGCTGGGGTTTCCAAGGGTGCATCTTTTGGTTCTCCGCCAGGCAAGACAGTGCTCTCCCTACCATCATGTATCTGGATCCAAACCTATCACAAAATTCGTTGATCTCTTTACGTCGGGTCGGAGTTTCTCGCGTTTTCGGATCGCCGTATGCATGTTCTTGCTTACTCTTGGCGGAGTATCTCTTGTATCATCAAGCCATCCAATCGGGCTGTCATGGTTTTCTACGGATCGCTACACTAAAAAGCATCGGATAGTGGTCCACAAACTTTTTCGATCACTATTTACTCCAGTGTGGTGGTTGGATCACCAATACATTTGAACTTCTATTGTCAATATGTGGTTATCACGTGACGTTCTTCAACATGCGCTTCGGTTCTTTGTGTTGTTGCCTGTGAAGAGTGCTAGAACTCCAGACATTAAGGAGTTATTCGGACCAAAATTGTCCCCCGGCGCCGAAATCATATTGCGGTCTGATGTCAATTGGACACAGAAAGTACAACAAAGATGGTCGGCATATTTGGCACCAGACTATATGGGAGCCGTGAAAGCTGCCACTGTGGAAGACGTTCAAAATACGGTATACATCTAATCACACTATATCCTTGGTTTAATTTTCAAAAACGGTCTAATATCTATCTCTAGGTAAAAACTGCGACAGCGCATAGTATATCTTTCGTTGCCATTGGCGCCGGACACGGAAGTGCCTCAACGCTATCTGGCATCAACAGCGGCATTCAAATTGACCTTGGAAACTTCAGATATGCGAAACTTAACAAGAGAAAGGATTTGGTGACCGTGGGAGGTGGAACTAAGTTTGAGCAAGTTTGGGATACTTTGTATCCGGCTGGAAAAGAATTTCGTAAGTCTTCCATATCCTTACTTCTGCATGTATCCAAATTAACAAACACTAGCAACTGGAGCTGCTCCTTGCGTTGGTACTTTAGGCCCAACTCTAGGCGGTGGTATTGGAACCCTCCAAGGTCTACGAGGGCTGACCTTGGACTCCCTCGTCTCTGTCCAGATAGTTACAGCTAAGGGTGAACTGATCACAGCTTCAAAGAAGAAGAATGCAGAGCTTTTCTGGGGTATTCGTGGCGCAGGATATAATTTCGGCATTGTGACAGAGGCTACTTACAAAGTTTATGATGCGACGAATGGCGGACAGGTCATGAATGGGGATTTCAAGTTTCCTGCCAGCGCAAACCGTTCATTTTTCGAAATCATGGAGAGGTTCGACAATACTCTTCCCGCGGAACTTAGCTTCTCGACTATTATTTCGTTCGATAGAGCGATCAATGAGGTTAGTCTGTGCTTCTTTTGGACCACAACGGCTACTCGATCTATGCTAACTCTGGTCAAAACCAGTTGGTACTCTCCGTCAATGTCAATTACTATGGACCCATGGATGATGCTCTTCCATATTTAGCAACCCTCTTTGCTCTAAACCCTCTTGAATCAAAATTCGTCATGGTACCATGGAACAAGCTATACACCGTACTGTTCTTTGGCAAAGACTCAATGATGTGTCTGCGCAATCTACATCTCTATACTTCCGGTGGCGGTCTCAAGCAAACGAATGTTGCAAATTTCGAATCCTACTTCGAAGACTTGAACCAGTTTTTTCGCGAAAATACGGAGGTTGGCGGCGCTTTTGTTGTGTCGAGGTTTTCAAATGATGCCGTAGTGGCGGTGGAAAATGATGAGACGGCGTACGGAAGAAGACATCGAGAAATCAAGACTCATCTGTAAGTTTAGTGAATTAATTTGTCATCGCCTTCTTCACACAATTCTCAACTATCCGACTCTGACAACTTTGTTCACGCAGGATTTTTATAGATGTGTATCCTGACGACCCTGCCCTGGATACAATCGTTGATAATTTCACGAAATACTCCGTCGACAAATTGCACCAAACTAGCGGGTTTGACGACCTAACGACATACGTCAATTATGCGAATGGTGATGAAGGGCCTGAAGTGTGGTATGATGTCGATAAGTTGGAACGCTTGGCTGCTTTGAAGAGAAAATGGGATCCTGAAGAGAGGTTCAGCTTCTATCAGCCCGTGCCACTATATTGGCCTCCTGTAACTCAACCCATGCCAAGTAACGAAGACCTGTAAAGTTTGTAGGCTCGAGATTGGGCAACAGACGGAAGCAGTGTAAGTAGCATCCTGAACAATCGTGACTTATTCCACTTCAAATTGTTCAATTCGAACCAACCAGATTATTAATGCAGAAGCAAAATCACCTTGCCTTGATTTATATTTGGGATGAATATCTTCACATTGTCTCTTGTTGCAACAGAAATTTTTCAAATATTTGTTGCCCATTCAGATTATCAAACTATGGCGGACTCAAATCTGCTTTTAATTTTTCCAATTCCGAAGAGTCATTCAATGTATACTCCAATTACTTCAGTATCTAGACCACCCAAACCATCAACCTCCCGGCCAATATTCCACGAAAGTCTCAGTGGACCCCATTCAGTTGGTCAAGCTTGCCTTCAAACACGCCCACGGCATCCACAACCATCTTCCCAACATCAAAATCCCAAATCCGCCTCGACCTCCACTCAATCTCATCCCTACACCTCTCTCTATCTCTCCCATGCTGCCACTCATACATCTCGCCCATAAACCTACTCCCCTCAACCAACCACTGCGTCCTCTCCAACCTAACCTCACTGTAACTCTCCAGCACAGCCCTCACCATTCTCGCCCTATCCCCTCTCTTTTTCCCAGCCGCATTTTCAAACAACTCCGCCAAAACAAGCGCATCCTCAATAGCGAATCCCGCACCAGCGCCATGGTACGGTGATGAAGCATGTGCGGCGTCCCCACAAACAGCGATACATCCACGCGAGTAAGTAGGTGCGGGATGGTCTTTCATATCGAAAACAGCCCATTTAGAAAGTTCTTCCGGGAGTAAGTGTATGATTGCACGGAACGTCGGGTGGAACTTGGAAAATGCGGCGACGGCTTCGGATTTAGTGCCGGGGGCTGTGAGCTTCTCTTTGAAAGGCCACGGGTTGGTATCAGTTACGAAGGCGACGACGTTTAGGAGGGTGCCGCCTGCTACGGGGAAGGCTACGGACTGTGTCAGTTCATAGAGTATTTTGATGATCTTGTTTGGAAATCGCGGGTGTGTTACGTACTCACGGCATGAGCATCATAACCTATGTGTATATGCCGACTGAAAGCTTTCTTATAACTGAAGATCTCTTTCGCCTTTTCCATAGGAACCAGACCTCGAAAAGCGTATTTATGAGTGTAAGAAGGATACGAAGCTGGATTGTCTTCGCCTAGAATCAATTGACGGACTCTTGATCTGATTCCGTCGCAACCAATAACTTCCCAGCCAAACAATTAGCAAATTTTACTTATTGGACGCTTTAGCGATTGTCACATACCAGCATCGGCACGCTCCACTGTACCATCGCTAAATTTCAACACCAATTTCCCGCTGTTCTCCCCATCAACGATATCCACCAATCCTTTATCAAACACCACCCTCTCCACCGGCAACAGCTTCACAATCTCATCCAAAAACGCCGCGCGATGACATCCCTCAAACCCTCTAGGCCCAAGATCCATCTTATGAATCAAGTCCTCACTCAGCCCGTTGCCATTCATTCCATCTCCCGAGTAATCGGATGCATCAACCCAATAATACCAATCACTAGCATTTTGCGCCGCTACTTTCTTAAACGCATGATAAATTCGTGGGTCTAGAGCGAGCATCGCTCGTTCAGCATTACTGGTAAACCCGATTCCAGCGCCGATTTCTCGAAGACTTTTGCCTCGCTCGTAGACTTTCACGTTTATATTGCGTGTATGGAGACCTAGAGCAAGGGAAATACCTGCGATGCCTCCACCGACAATGGCGATTTCTAGAGATTCTTCCATATTTTCAGTGTTCAGTACCGTGCTTCAACAGTGGAAAACAAGCTCTGCATCATGGCTAATTAATTCAAGAAAGCCAAGATGCAGAGACTGTCCACCGATAAAGTCTTAGCGGTCCGTTATGTGGGCTTACGAAATGGGCATTTTACGAATCCTCGGAGTTTCCACTCGCGGAGTTTCTCGCCAAAAGGAGAATTGAAATGGCATCCGTCGGACGGACCTCATGAACAAGAACGCCCAACTGAATCATGATCCAAAGTAGAATGCTCGTCTCTAAGACAGTGATAAAATATGCAGCGGAATTCTGATACGTAAGGAGTTTCCTCGCAAGCAGATTTAGCATAGAACAAAGATCAAATTAAATTCGAATACCTATCAGGTCTATTTTCACCTCACGCATCCCAGCTATGGACGATCTAGAGCACATCCGAGATGATATCGGGCAACTATCCCGACTGAAAACTTATACTCACGTTCTACTCTGCTTTCCAATTCCTGACACCACGACACGTGAGTCCATCACCAACGCTCTCAGAAACGCAGCGCTTGAGCTCACGTCAAGCTTTCCATGGCTCGCCGCCAAAGTGGTGAATGAAGGAAGTGGGATGGGCAATTCTGGTGTCTTCAAGCTTGCACAATGCCCACAGTTTGCCCCACCGAACTCCATTGTTCAGGTGAAAGACTGTTCACACATATGCCCAACATATGAAGATATCATCCGAAGCCGAGGACCGTTCGAGATGCTAGATGGAAAAGTTCTTGCTCCCTGCGTAGCATTCCCCGAAATCCACGCTGAATCAACGGAATCAGATCCGGCTTGCGTTATAGCTATTCAAGCTAACTATATTCAAGGTGGATTGCTCTTGGATGCAGCGACTCAACATAACTTCATTGATGGAAATGGTCTGTTTCAGTGCCTGCGACTACTTGCTAAAGCAATGTGTGGCCAGAAGTTTTCCAATGCAGAGATTGAACAAGGAAATAGAGATCGCAGAACTTTGATACCATTACTCAGACCCAACGAGGGAATGTTGGATCATAGTCATTTGAAACGACAACCCTTACCAGCGACGTCTCGGCCAACACAGTCTCCAACGAAACCTGCAGAGTCTGCTGCCTGGTGCTGTTTTCGATTCTCAGGTGCAAAACTGAAAGAGCTCAAGCACTCTGTAAACAAAGATCTGGGGAGGAATGCAGTAGCAAGCTCCATTACTTACGTGTCTACCAATGATGCACTGAGTGGCTTTCTCTGGAAATGCCTCAGCGCCATCCGCTTGAAGCGTCGTCAACAGCCAAATGACTTTTCCAAGTTCTCTCGAGCCCTTGATGCTCGACGGGCGATGCAAGTGCCGAAAGAGTACATGGGGCAGATGGGTTATAACGCCACATGCAGAATTAGTTTTGGGGATTTGGAGAAAATGTCGTTAAGAGAAGTGTGTGCCCTGCTACGTGAGACCGTACAAACCGTCAACAATGAGTACTCCGTGCGTAGTTGGGTTACATTCATTGCCAACGAGCCCGATAAGTCCACTATAATGTTCGGCGGAACATTCAATCCCGATACTGATATTGGGCTCTCATCTTTGGCACACGCTGAGTTGTATAGTGTGGAATTTGGTGCACTAGGAAAGCCACAACTAGTTAGGCGTCCGAACTTCGGTCCGCTGGAAAGTATCGTATACTTTTGGCCGCAGACTGAAGATGGTGATATCGATGTATTGATGTGTTTGAGCGGAATGGATTTGCAGGGTATGAAGGAGGATGGAGTATGGATGTCCTTTGCCAACTTTATTGGGTAGCGACAGTTTCGACGACTAGCAGTGCGAAAGACGATAAATTAATACGTATTGCATGCTAATGACCGACTTCTTTCTTGGATGCTTCTTGAACCTAGCCTGGTCAGCAATTTGAAAAGCCCAAGAGAGGGGCTGAAATTTCGGAGTGCATCGAAACGCACAATGACTTCGAATGGCCAGTGAGCTTCGATCGCTTCTTCTTTTACACTCACTAGATACTCCAGTTACTACTATGCGTACCTTGGCACCCAAGCACATGTGATTTGCGGACCCTAGCCATCACACCAAGGCTACGGAGTTTCTACCTCGGAGTTGCCAGGCTCAGTCCTTATTTCTTTCTTTTTTTTTTCTACAAGATACCACCCTCGTTTGCAACCGGGTCATCTGGGAAGTAAGCTGGAGCGCAAACCTAAGATAGACAAGCTGTAGATCTTGTGTTGCCTTTTCAATCTTGATCAATCTTGACTCATTTATGTAAAGTTTCCAGCGCTAGGGCGAGATCTCGTAGCGAGTAGTCATTTAACTAGCCTACTCAGTTTACAGTGCTCACCATGCCTGTTGCTACGTTCGATGGCCAGGGGGAGGATACGATTCACTTACCAAGAATATTATGCCTTCATGGAGGGGGAACAAACGCCAAAATCTTTCGCGCACAGTGTCGAGTTCTTCGAGCAGAGCTCAGATCAAGATTCAGGCTGTGCTTCGCCGAAGCACCGTTTACATCACAACCTGGCCCAGTATGTAGATGATGTTTTCGTATTATAGAAAGAAGAGTTTTCTGCGGCCTATAGATCGCGCCGGCTGCTTTCGTGGAACACACTGACTTGAAATATAGGATGTGGTATCTGTTTACAGGAACTTTGGTCCTTTTCGTCGTTGGCTGCGCTCGGAGCCAGGACATCCAAGAATCGAGCCTAGGCTAGCAGCAGACTTGATACAACAATCTCTAGATGCTGCGATGAATGAAGATGATAGTAAGGGAGCGACGGGCGAGTTTGTAGGCCTCCTTGGATTCAGCCAAGGAGCCAAAATATGCGCCAGTCTGCTGTTTCGTCAACAGGTAATGGCAGAAAAGCTTGGTTTATATCAAACAACGAATTATCGTTTTGCAATTCTACTCGCTGGAAGAGGGCCGCTTGTGTCTATGGAACCCGATTTGATCATGAATCCAGCGCTCGTAGACGCCTCACAAATCGGGTTTCTTCGCATTTCCGATGAGCAGCTTCTCTGGAGAAATGAATGTCTCCTCAAAATACCAACAGTACACGTACATGGGACGCGCGATGCGGGGTTGGAGCTGCACAGACAGCTTCTGAATTTTCACTGCGATAAGGAAAGTGCCAGATTGATCGAGTGGGATGGTGATCATAGAGTTCCGATAAAGTCTAAAGATGTTGCCGCTGTTGTGGAGCAGATTCTCAATGTTGCAAAAGAGACAGGTGTGGCATGATGCTTGGTTATAAATATCTCGACGAATGATTGTCTCAGACCTGGCTGGAAAATACACGAATGTGTCACCATTCGAGGGTTCTGTTCTCCGGTTCTGGAAGTTAGTATGTTTGTGTAGGACATTGGTGGAAATAAAACAGATTAAAGCTTGACTTCATGGACTCTTTCCCCAAAAGCGCCATAGCACTGTCAATATCTGCCGCAAGCCTACCCCCAACACAAAAATCAAAGCTCTTGTTCTGTTCGCAGTGTCATAAGGCTTCTCATCCCGTGTATTCTCAGCTGACAAATAGATCCGTTTTTCTTTGAGGCTATATGTTCTGATTTTGAAATGTGATCGTAGCTATTGATATCCGGGACCATCGATGCTCCATTTCACCTGGCCTCTGCCCATAATCGCATATATCGGGTGTCTGTTGTTTTCGAGACTGGGTTGGTAGAATACATTTTCGAATATGCTTTCGTATCGATCTGATGCAGTCTCCGTCATCAAAGGCTTAGAGGGGGCGGTGAACAGCATTCGAGTCGCATGCATGTCTGAAAAGCTGCTGCCGTCCAATTGTCACGGGCTGTAATTCTGCTGGGTTTCATTAGTGTCTGTCATGGAAGTGATGCAAAAACCTCGTTTCTGTCGTCGTTAATTCTGCCGCCAACGATAGATTCTGCCATGTCCCTTGGAAAGGCGGTGAATGATAATACAAGCCACAACAACCGGACGTCAAACGACGTATTTCACGTACTACTTCTTGACGGCAGGTCATCGTATAGAAGTATTCATCCAGCTACTAATATTTGAGTTAAAAGCTTGTTGTAGCCAAAGACGACGAGTTTTTGAGGACTTCAGCTCTGCTTTCATAATCTACATTCTCCAAATTCCCTGTCTCAGAAACCCAAGCACAACCGGACTGATTTGACAAACTATTTGTGTCAAGGCCTTCATCTGTTTCCATATGAAAGCTTGATACTAGATTGTACCACACTGAGTCTTCCATCACAAAGTATGGGATCACAAGAAGCAAGGCTTTGACGAGGGCAAGCTCTCGTGGAAGATCGGAAAAGCGTAGCAGCTGCCAGTTGCGGACGGATTCATTTATTTCGACCCAACAATTGCATAACATCTTAAATTCAAACAAGAATCAAAGGCCCTATCATAGATAAGCCACGTTGATTTTGCGTTGACGTCCGTCTCTTGCAGGCTGCCGCTCTATTGTCTCGTTCTATTATGCCGAATTATCGCAAACGATTACAGCGAATTCGGTTAAAACTCATCCTCGCGATGGCTTCGAAATTCGCTATTTGCCCAACCTTTTCTCCGTTTCCAAGACTCCCAGTTGAAATCCGACTGAAGATCTGGCGGCTCGCTATACAACAACTCTGTTCAGTGAAGGAGCTGAGAATCTGTTGCGACAAGACCCAGCCGAAAGTGCCTCTTCCCGCAGTATTTCGAACCAACCAAGAGTCGCGCGATGAGGCTAGAGGGGTTTTAACGCCTTTCTCTTTCTATCCATCTGATCATACACATCATACGAAAGTGTATCTTGATCCTTCAAACGACCTATTCTATCTTCGACTACGTGAAGGTGGCTGCAGCCGCAGATATCTGTGCCAGTCATCGCAATCCGATTATCATCACATACTAGGTCCATTTGCAGACAGAATGTCCGCCGAGGAACTGGGCAAAGTGCAAAATCTTGCCCTGGAGGCACCCTACTACGAATGGGGAATCTTGGAGGCTCTGGGCAACTTTCTGGACCAGCTCACTCGCTTCCGACGATTGAAGATATTAATTATCGTTCTTGGTGATGCCGAGACGATGTTTCTTGATACTCCTCTGGTTCATCATAAACGTTCTTTGCAACCCGGCTACGAACCCGCAAAAGAAAAGATGGTCGAGATGTGGAGGCATCTTGCGGAAAATGCAAGTCTGGAGTATCCTGGTTGGCAGATCCCGAAGGTGGTGGTAGTGGATGGTGAAGTGTGTTCCAATTCTGCGATTTGGTCGACGGCTTGCCGCTGTGTGGGAAAGGATGGCCAATTGACAAAGTCTAGACATTTTGTCATAAATGATCCCAAAATTTAATACCCGGGCTGCGAGCTGTGGGCTAGAAGCGCTAATTGGCCAACTGCCACCGAAAACTCTTATTAAGGTCATTGCGCTTGGCTTGCACCAGACCACAACTCCAACTGCGCTTCCTATCCCGAATTCGCTCAACAACTCCTCGACCTTGCCAAGCTTCGCAACGGCCCAGATGGTAACATCACTCCTCGAGTCATTGCAGAACACATGGTGAACCGACGACGCCATTCGATTGCAACAAACCCACTTTACTTCGCGCCTCCATTCGCAGGCTTAGTAGTTCCAACCGTCGCTGCTTTGTTTACCTTCACGATCCTAGCCAATCACTCTGCAGAATATCCACGAGGTTGTCTATCTCCGTCCAGCTTCGAGAGTCTCTGGGGCTACACACGGGATGCGAACAACAATCTTGTGTACAAATACGGTCACGAGCGCATCCCAGACAACTACTACAAGAGCGCAATTGAGGATCAATGGACCGTCCCAGATATCCTCACCGGCTTTGCGCAAAACTGTCTCTCTTACCCAAGCGATTGCGAAGTTGGCGGAAACCTCGGCACAGTCAACTCATTCACTGGCGTCAACCTCGGCGACATTTCCGGAGGCCTGATCAACTCTCCCGCAGATTTCACCAACACCACTCTTCTCGGCTGCTTCATCTCACAAAGTCTCCAAGCTGAAGCTCCAACCTTCCTCAGCAACGTCTTTAGCGGCGTCCTCTTGACTCAAGTTCTAGGACTCATCACCTCCCTTCTTGTACCGACCCTTCAAAAATTCCAACTTGATGCTTTGATCACCTGTCCAAGTTTGCCTAAAGGTAAGGGCATCTTTGATGCTAACAGCAAGTATCCAGGTGCTAGATTTTTGAGCCAGGGTCCTCGCAATCCGTTTTAAACAGATTCCAACCCCTCGTATGTTTCAACTCTAGATTTAGGATTGATTTCGCGTTTGGTAGCTTTGAAGATAGTTCATAATAGACACTTTCAGGCTGTACAAATTTACTGTTTCTGGTTTTCGTGAATCGCTCGTTTGTCGATTGTGGTCCCCATTGCTCGCAATGTGACTTCCGTGGCCGAAAGGAGTACACTAATATACCGTTGAATAAACCTATAAGCTATAGTAATTAATGCAAGTACTGGAAATCTCGCACAGCAACTACTTGCCTCAATTATGAAATTGAATTCTATTCATTTCCAATAGTATATAAATAAATTAGTCAACAAAATCAAGTTATGATTATTCTTTCCCGCAAATTCATTTTTCACTTAAAATAAATATTTCAAACCCGCATAAAGCTGTTTGTCATCGGATCTTTACTCACCATCGAATGGAATTTCGTCTTACTTAAATTCAAAACCTCTAATGCGAACTCCAATCTCACAAACACCCACGATTATATAGTCTAGTCTGTGTTCTGACCGCGTAACCAAAATCTTCAGACCATTTAGAAATAATGTTTCAACAAGCAATCAGCAAGGGAATTGCGTATAGGTTTTTATCGTGTTTAATCAAATCGTGAAGTTGCGATTTATAAAGGCGTGATTTCTGCATGACCGGTCGGTGCATAATTCCTATCAAAGTTCTGAAGAGGTGGTAACGAATCAACAAAATAACATCAAACCAGCGGAGCATTCATCCTCATCGTTCGACGAGGTAGGTGGTGTAACTCTCGCTGAATATAGGGGGCAACCCAGCAGTCGTGCTTTGTAACAGATTCATACATCAATTTGTATGTACATTTGGTCTTCCGCGTTTAAATACAATTACCATCCAATCACCCATAGACTCGCACTCATTATACAAAGACCAAGATTCTCTCTACCGGTATGCATTCCAAGGGATATCATCTAATCACACTCGACCGAACGGATGTGCAAAGACCGAGGAAGTAGACAAGAGAACAACTTCAAAATTCAAGGCAGTTGGAATCTTACTAGACGAGACCGTACCAAATCTACGCAAAAGTCTGTCGACAGATATTGAAACGATTTGCTTCAGCCGAATTTTCATAACATCCCATGAACCTAAACTCATCTGTAATATTCATTCGACTTATTTCCATGCTATGCCTGTATATATATCTCGCACGACCTCTGCTCAATCACCCTTAGATATCTCATTACTTTCCTCTCTTGCTTTATTGCTTACTCACGCTTCTTCCCCTCCAAGAAGCTTTATACATCCACATATTTCCCATCTAAAATAAGACCTTCCTCCACGTACCTAGTAGTGTTCACCCGCCTACCAAATTAAAGTGCAGCGTATGCAGAAGGCCAACCAGCCTCACACAACGCCTCAGCAAAACGTAATAGTAGGCCTTTGAACCATGAGCGAAATTCCAGGGTGATATTCAACTCGGGCAGCTCAAATTTTCTTCAGTATATAAACACATTCAAACCAAATCACCCATAAAAACATCAACTTAACGCATCATCCTCACCTCACATATAGGCCATAGCTCATTCTCTCGAGACTCGCTTCATACTGTGCAGCCTAACTTCTTCTTTTCGAAAAAGCTCAGCTCCAAATTCATAACTAGTATTAACTACAATGTGAAAATTAATATTTATTATTACCGAAGACTATAACTCTATCTACGAAACCTTTTTCTTTGTCGTGGAGGCAGTCGCGAGATAGCAAACACTTCCTTATTGCCCATTAACTCCCGCCCATAATTCATAAGCCAGCGAAAAATCACGTCGCGGCACGTTTATGAGTACGTTCGCTCCGTTGTCTCGTTGTCTGATTCTGAACAACGCTTGATCTCGAGAGCTTGGTTCATGCATCGACGATCATTTGAAGCCTCACTGGCCCTCACATTTCGTAGCTGCAAGTAAGATAGCGTGAACTAGATGTCGGCGTGGTTATTAAAGACCATTCGTCTTGCTCGTTGATGGTAAAGTAATAAGGTTGATAGCGAGTAGTCCTCCCGCCTCCACATCCGATCAACCAACTTTTCATCTCCCCAACGCTTTCGCCAAGACGTCCCCGAGGAATGTATACTCCCTAAACTGTACAAATAGACTCGCACTCTGGTCAGTCCGTATTAAAAGCTTTGATATCTGTTTGGCTACTGTTTATTCAACTCGCTCCTCGCTTGTGACGTGTGTAATGATTTTCCCCGAACAGATGTTCCAGGATCCAGGCCTCAAATCTAGACCTTAAAACCACCTCACCAGTTCCCCAACCAAGCAAACACTAAAAGACTGACGGTAACCTCAGCCATTTCAAGAGCTTCTTTCAAGAGCTTGTCCCAAAACAAGATCTATTTACCACCTTTCAGTGTCACCCAAGCCTTGGACTCAAATCAACAATACTCACTAACACTCACCAAACCTCACCACTCACCAGTCACCTCCTCCCAGAAAACATCAAGCCTTCGAGCATCCTACGTCAAAACCACCCTCCCTAAGCGCATCGCACCTCACCGAAAACCATCCCATTCCAAGACCTCAATGACATAACGCGCAGCCCGCCAAGCCGCGCCCCAAGAGGTCCGCCAAGGTCACATGACGCATCACTTTCTCCATCGGCAAAATGCTGTGCTACCATTGGCCGTCACACACCCACAGCTTCTAACGTATTCTAGAAGCCCCATACCAGCGGCGTCCCGCCACCCCGCGAATGACCCCGCGGCGCGGAAAAGTCGAGCGGAAAGTCTGGGTGCGGGCTTGGTAGGTTGGGCCAAGACGACGATGGCTCCAATGAACCAAACTCAAGAAAACGCTATCCAAACACAAGAACAGTGTTGAGAAAACGGTACCTTGGCGGCGGGGATGGTGAAATCTGGTTTATCTATTCAATCGGCCGCTTTTCCGTTGGAAATAAGTATAATATGATGGCGTATCCCCTCTTCTCTTGGGATGCATCAGAATTTCCTTTATTCAAAGAAATTACATTCCCTACTATTCCCTTGACTAGGAATAGAACAACGAGTTTACGCGATACAACATAAACACAACGCAACAAAGTCAACGAACGCCATGGCGCCAACGAAGACGGTAAAGAGCGCTTTGCAAAAACATCCATTCCTCTTGCCTATCGAGGAGGTAGCGCAGCAATTGGGGACGAACATCGAGAGTGGTCTCAGTGCCGCGAAGGTACAAGAGATACAGAGGGATCATCCACCAAATGAATTAGAGGGTGGAGGAGGGGTACCTTGGTACAAGATCCTACTGAAGCAATGTAGTAATGCTATGATTTTGGTATGTGGTCTATTCACATCACAAGCGATTGCAACTAACAATAATGACAGGTGTTGGTCTTTGCCATGGCACTGAGTTATGGTGTAGGTGATTACATCGAGGGAGGAGTTTTAACAGCAGTCATTATTCTAAACGTCTCAATTGGCTTCTTCCAGGAATTCAAGGCGGAGAAGAAGATGGATTCTCTACGAGCACTTTCATCACCTAGTGCAGCTGTACTTCGTGATGGTCAGATCGACACAATCCCAAGGTGAGTCTATCACGATTCTCTTCCAAAAAAGATCAAAGCACTAACAATGAACAGCGCTGAAGTAGTGCCAGGTGATATTGTAATCCTGAAGACTGGCGACACAGTACCAGCCGATCTGCGCATATTCGAGGCAATGAACTTGAATTGTGATGAGAAATCACTAACTGGAGAAGCCGAGCCCGTCGAGAAGATTGTCGAGAACAACATCATGGTTCCAGGCTCAGAGCGACTTGCCACTGAAGAAGGCGAAGTTGGCATTGGAGATCGATTCAACATGGCTTATTCAACCACGACAGTAACTAAAGGTCGCGGCCGAGGAATCGTCACATACACTGGTATGCAAACAGAGGTTGGTAAAATCGCGGCATCAACAACAAAGAAACAACGAAAAGCAGGCCGATCGATGAACTACAAGAAATATGGAAAAGCTGCGCCAGTCAAGGGTGGTGCCAGACGTACATACGATGCAGTTGGCAAATTCCTAGGCCTTACTGAAGGCACTCCTTTGCAAAGAAAATTGTCAAAGGTGGCTTATATCCTGTTCGGCTGCGCTCTCCTCCTGGCCATCATTGTTTTTGGTGTCAACAAATTCAATGTTACCCACGAAGTCGCCATTTATGCTATCTCTACTGGTATTGCCATTATTCCAGAATCACTGATTGCGTAAGTACCGGAAACTCTCCAAAACTTGTGAAGTAGCTGACTGACTTAAATAGTGTTTTGACAATCACCATGGTGGTCGGAATGACTGTTATGCGGAAGGCAAACGTCGTTATCCGAGATTTATCAGCGTTGGAGGCTCTCGGAGGCATCACCAATATCTGCTCGGACAAGACTGGAACTTTGACCCAAGGAGCCATGATCGTCAAGAAAGTGTGGCTGCCAAAGGTCGGGATCTTTACCGTCAATAACTCGATGGATCCAAAGGACCCAACACAAGGTGACGTGACCAAGGGTGCTGCACCAGTGCCAAATGCCAACACACAACCTTCCGAGAAAACCGAGACCGATTATGATCACCAACGTAGTGCCGCTGCACTCAAGTTCGACGTTCCTGCAGAAAAGGCCGCCAAAGACCAAGGGAACAATCAGAAAGCCAACAGCAGTCCAGCAGAGGAGGCCGCTACTATTACGCCTGAACTAGAAGCATTCCTTCTACCAACAGCGCTTTGCAATCTGTCCACTGTCAAACGCGAGAAGGTCGAGAATACCGAAAAATGGCAAACGACAGGCGAACCTACCGAGATCGCTTTGCAAGTCTTCGCACATCGTTTTGATTTCGGTAAGAAGAAGCTTGAAACTCAAGGCTGGAAGCAAATCGCCGAGTTTCCATTCGATAGCAGCATCAAGCGGATGTCTGTCATTTACAACTCTCCAGACGGTGGTCATAGTATGGTTTTCACCAAAGGTGCTGTTGAGCGTGTGCTTGACCTTTGTACATCTGTGGGCTCTGGATCGACAAGTGAGCCTCTAGATGAAAAAACAAAAGAGCACGTTTTCTACCAAATGAACGAGCTCGCTTCACAAGGTCAACGTGTTCTCGCTGTAGCGTCCAGAGAGTGGACGGGAGATGCTTCAGCAGCCGTGAAGAAGAGTAGCAAGGACGAAGCGTTCCGAAACGAAGTCGAACAAGGTCTTACTTTGATCGGACTTGTAGGAATTTATGACCCTCCACGAGACGAGACTAAGGACGCCATCCGCGAATGCAGTGAAGCAGGCATCAAGGTCCATATGCTTACTGGAGACCACCCTGCCACCGCAGAAGCTATTGCCAAAGAGATTGGAATTGTTCCACGAAACCTTTCGATCCTCCCACCAGACGTTGCCGCCTCTATCGTACAAAAGGCAACTGACTTTGATAAACTATCCGAGGCTGAGATTGATGCGATGCCTGAACTACCACTTGTCATTGCACGATGTGCTCCGGACACCAAGACAAAGATGATCAACGCTCTTCGCCGTCGTGGTTTATACATGGCCATGACTGGTGACGGTGTGAACGATGCGCCATCCTTGAGCGCCGCCGATGTTGGAATTGCTATGGGTCTTGCGGGATCTGATGTCGCCAAAGGCGCCGCAAAGATTGTGTTGACTGACGACAAATTCAACTCCATCGTGGCCGCTATCAGAGAGGGCCGCAGGATGTTCGACAACATCCAGAAATTCGTTCTACATCTCCTCACATCCAATGTGGGCGAAGTAATCCTCTTGATTGCTGGCCTTGGTTTCCAAGACAGTTCCGGGTTCTCGGTATTCCCTCTCAGTCCTCTACAAATCCTCTGGATCAACATGCTCACATCTTCCTTCCCCGCTTTCGGGCTGGGTAAGGAGAAAGCAAGCTCAGATATCATGAGACGCCCACCACACAGCAACAAGTACGGCGTGTTTACTCCACAGATCATGTGCGACATGTTGGTTTATGGTCTTGTCATGGGTGCTACAACGCTCCTGACTTTTGTGACCATTGTCTATGGAGCCAATGGCGGTAACCTTGGTCGTGATTGCAACAGAGAATGGAATGACCAATGCGTTGCCGTGTTCAGAGGTCGTGGTGCCGTCTTCGCACTTCTCACTTGGGAAATCCTGATCTCGGCTTGGGAGTTCAAGAGTATCCGTCGAAGCATGTTCAGACTCGATCCTGCGACTGACAGCAAGTTCCCATTCTTCCACGATGTATGGGAGAACCAATTCCTTTTCTGGGCTGTGATAATTGGCGCCTTGTCTGTATTCCCAGCCATCTATATCCCAGGACTAAACCACCAAGTATTCAGGCACACAACCATCACTTGGGAATGGGGTCTTTCATTCGGCTGTGTCATCTTGTTCGTCGTCTGTATGGAGGCATGGAAGTTCACCAAGCGTCACTTCCATCTATTCGAGCAAGGAGAGGAGGATTCGCAGGAGTTTAAGAATAAGAAGTTGTCCCTCAGACAGGGTTTCTTCTCGATGGCGAAGGGATCTAGACCATCATCGATTCGGTCGTTTGGCAGAAGCCGAACTGGCGAGAAAAAAGACGCTGGTATGACAGCGTTGAGTGCTGCACCAACTACACGAACATTGGTGGGTAGTAGTGGCACGGAGACACAAGAAAAGGCACGAACGCCAGAACAACAAGTCTAGACATTTGATATATTAGCGGTTTGTCATTGTACCATATCATTTTGAAAAGAGCGGAGGAGTGGAGTCCCCCGTGGACTATCGAGTCTTGCCTGGAGTCCGGAGTTATGATACCATAGGAGGCAATTTTGTAATTAGTGCTTGTAATATAGAAATTAATCATTCCATACCATATTTGACAGTGTCCACAGTGCAGTCTTTCCAATCAGGTTGTTGTTTCCTATCAGCATGTTTCTGGAAGATCCATCTGCCATTTGATGAATTCACAACAAAACAATCATCACAGTCGTTAACTTAGCAAGAAATCGAGAGTGTGATTTCTGGAATGGAAGCCAGCGATTGAAGCAATTTTAGAGATGGAGCATGGAGCACCGACGCGTCGCTCAACGAAGTACAGCTTGGACCACCTACTAAATCTATCCCCGATAGTTAACGCCGAGTCACATGACCGTGTACCCAGTTTGGCTGGGCCCAAATACGACAAGCTTCTATTCTCCTCATCCAACACTTCTCAAGACGTGCATATCAGCGTATGCACGTCTATTAGTACTCCCGTACCCATGTCTGCCGGTAGATATATATCGTGAAGAGCGCTATGGTTTCGGTTTTTCTTAATTCCAGTCTTTTATTTCTCGCCCTTTCCGTTCCTTTGCATTTCTCAGGTTCTTCTGTTGTTCAGTAATCAGTTCAAGAAACAGAATCCAATAAGTCTGACTAATTGAAGAGTCAGGAAGACCTACACATATTGAAGTGATATAGCAAAGTGTATGGCAATAGAGTGTCTCATGCTATTTCCACATTCTTTTCATGTTAACGAGGCAGTCCAAAAGATCAGCCAGGACAATACCCGAACTTCCACCCAAATCAACTCAACATGATAAATTTGGCCCTTCACCCAACACCTCCGACTCAGTTTCTTACTCATTCAGAAACCCCAGCACTGTCATTCATCACTCTAACCGGACCAACCTCAAACACCAAAGAAATCTCCCAACAAGTTCGAAGACATGTCATGAAAGATTATGCTCGAAAGTCCAGGAGTAAGGATTCAGTAACAGCATTTACCGTCTCTCAAATTCCTAAGCTGGAGAGTTTAGGAGATCATAAGGGGAGGTTTAGGCTTGACACTTGGAAGAAAAAGAAGGGTAAAGCGAAAGCTTCGACCTTAGAAGAAAACGAGAAGGAAAAGGAAAAATCAGTTGCTCACAGAAAGAAAGAGCGACAAAGACGCACTCCCGAATCATTCTCAAACTCCAAACTCACACCACGCACTTGCACCATTCCATACAGCTCACCACACCACCCAAAACCAACCCTCTCCCTCGAACTCACCCTCGACCCCTTCAACACCCTCCCCATCTCCCCCTCTCCAAACCTAATCCACTACTGTAAGCACTCCCCCCCCCATCTTCAAACAAAAGAATTTTCTCTATAGGAATTCTCACGCTGAACCTATTCCTAACAAACCCCAGATCAAAAAATCTACCCCATGAACGGCATAGCCATAAACCCAACCGGCACATTCTTCTCGCACGCCCTCAAAGATCCCGCCTTGCTGCACTCAGTGTTGCATCTCGTATCCTTACACATCTCTCTACGCTACCCACCCAACCAAATCCAAGGCGACTCCGAAGCCGAATCTCCCGAAAGCCTCTCTCACGGCATTTCCGCATTCAGTATCATCAACGCCCGTCTAGGAACTCATGAAGGAATCAGCGAGATGACTATTGCAAGTGTGGCTATGCTTGCTAGTAAAGAAGTCTGTCTCCTCCCCTTATCCTCACTCAACATTTCACCCTCCCCTCTTTACATCATCAAGACTAATTAAAGGGATAGAATCTGAACGGCAAATACAACATCTCAACCCTCCACATGACCGGCTTACACCACCTAATCCGCGCCCGGGGCGGCATTGCCACTATTTCCGGCGTATTCCTCCGCATCGTTCTTTGGGCAGATCTCTGTTTTAGTAATATCCAAAGTCGACCCCCTTATTTTGCTAGACAAGATTTCGCTCCTGTGACGATACCTGAGATACCCTCAACGGACGACAATTATCTCGCACTTCCCCCGGCCCTCGACAAGATTTTCAGCACTCTCCGGTATCTGAGTTGTGTCCTCGAACCGGAAAGAGTGAGGTTTTTGGATAGGTTGGAAGCGAGTACGTTGATATATAACGTTGAATACGACATTCTCCTCCACAATACTCCCCTCCCCGCCTTCACCACCACCACCATTCCTCCCATCCATCCTCTCATAACAGCAACACACGTCTACCTCTACATCTCCATCCGCGAAATCCCATCTACCTCGCCAGCAATATCGCTTATGCTATCACGCCTCCAATCTTCCCTTAACACATACCATCAAACCCAAGATCAATCCGAAAATACTGCCACTGACTCATCTGGTACTGCCATCTGGCCAGAAGAGGCAGTATCCCGGAAGTCTAGGCCCGCCACCGCCGAGGCGATGACATACCACCTCTGGACCCTCTTCATAGGCTACCTCGCTTCCGCACACAGATCGGAGCGATATTGGTTCATGTCAGAAATTAAGAAAGTCCTAGACGCACTTGGAATAGAGACTATCGCAGGACTGCAATCTGAGTTGAAGAAATTGTTATGGCGGGAAGATTTTATGAGGGAGGGTTTGGTGCTGGTTTGGATGGAGATGGTTGGGGAGGGGCAGACTGGGATTGTGTAGGGGTGGGGTTGTTTCGAGGTACAGGGGAGATTAGCTACAGTCGGATGTTATAGGATTTAGAAGATGAGGGTTAGAATAAAGAATGAAGAATTGTCTAAGACAGGAAGTCAATAGATATATATGGCCAACCCATAGAATTAAGCGGGAAAAGATGTCACCGATAACAAATTTTCTCACGAATGATACGAAGGAAAGGTCGAGAAAGAATATATCTCTATAACATAACTTATGACATTTCTATCTCTATTCAACCAACAAAATCCCAACCACATTTCCCCCCCTTCCAAATCCACCAAAAC